GGTATATATATATATATATATATATATATATATATATACGTTGAAGGTTTCATGCTTCAAAGCTGTAAAAGTATACATCGTGAATTGGACGCATTTGCGGAGTGGACACGGAGGACTACGGGACCGTATGGTAGGGTAGGCTGCTAACATCCTCTTAGGACTATAGCACCACGCGACAAAAGGACGTCACTGAATATATCATAATAAAATTGATGTGCCAAGTGTGAGTGGACACGGAGGACTACGGGACCGTATCATTTGGTAGGCTGCTAACATCCTCTTAGGACTATAGCACCACGCGACAAAAGGACGTCACTGAATATATCATAATAAAATTGATGCGTGATGCCAAGTGTAACACGGGTAATGCATTGGTGAGATCTAAATTGTCAAGTGGCCTCGCGAAGATATTGGATGCAATAGCAAGCAGCTATTAAACCAGCCAACATAAGCGAAGTTTCAAGAGTTTATGTACCGATAGTTTGTCCATTACAATACCACAATCATTGAAAGTTCAGTGAAGCAGGATCAGCAGCCACGTCAGGATCAACCACATAGGGTACCAAGACTGGTTGCAATAATGATGCATTTTTCGTTTCCTGATCAGCAATAAGCATGTAGCCACTGTAGCATCAGTCAGATGCATTAGCTCCGGTGGCCCAAAAACGGACAAAGAATGAATAATAAGCTAAAAGGAGCCAAGAAATCTAATGGTAGGTAGATGGGTAATTTCATAAGGACTACTTCACAGCATTGAAACAAATCTCTGGAGTATCCCAAATACATCCATATCGCTCAGGCTGTCTGAAACCTCCACAGGCCTGAATATATATTTGATGCTTACAAGGCACGACTGTCAATAGTATTTAACAACCCATCCGTTCACCACCACTCTTGGCAGCTACCTCAATTCGCTGTAAGAATGGACTTTCCCAATGCACTTTCGAAGATCGAACTCTGAAGATCGACAAATAAACAGTAGAGCGGAACGACTGTCAGGGAAACAGAATTACATGAAGAAATGTTCAAGATGAGTAGACCAACATTGGAAAACGAAGTTTTCGTCTGCGCTGCATACTGTGAGAGACAAAAAGGGATTCAAAAAATCATTCAGCTGTAGCACCCTTTCGGTGCCTATCTGTCATGCCACACGAAGGAGGCACGAGGGCTGGGGTACTGCCAGGTTGCCTAAGCCTAGACAGGGGGAGTCGAAAGGCAGAGGTCAGGTTCGAACCACGGACCTTCCGGTCGGTAAATTCGCGCTCTAACCACTTGGTACATCTTGTTTCAAAAGAGTTCAGGTCGCTTCAAGCATACCAATGTTCGAGAGAAGGCGAAGCCGACCGAAAACGAAAAATATTGCGNGCGAAATGGAAATGCATGACATGCATTCTGATCAACTGCTGGACCACCATCAAATGTTCCCGAAAAACAATATAGGTTCCAGAAAGCAGGCAAAGCGATTGATTGACTTCATCTTCGGAGCGCGTCGGCTCCAGGAAAACCGCTAAAAAGCGAACCAAACACCAAACACCCTGTCAGCGGATTTCAGCAATAAACACCACTGAAGGCCAACGATGTACTGCCGTGCTGTTTTTTTTACAGTACGATATAGGACAATGCGCCCAGAGTTTACAGAACACCAACTGCAAACATCCTTTTAGTTGACAGTGGATCCTACCTGCAGTCACGATGGTGTTTGGTTCGACAGCCGATCAGTTGCGGAAACGCACAGATGTGCGTTGAAATCCGGTACGTATCACATGCAACTTCCTCAAACTCTAAGACAATTTAAACATACCAAACTGAACTGATCAAATTGTTCGGGTGCTTCGCACCGTGGGGGTCACTGGACCTGACCATGCATGAATTCTGACAGTCGCATCTCGATCAAAGTACGCAAGGTAGCCTGGTAAGTCGGCTGTTTTTTGTTTGAGCTTGCGTCACATGTGCGCACGAAATAAAGTTACGGAATGGTTGGTGTAGACAGTGAAACCACACTCAACGTTCGGTAGTAACCCGAGCGAATTCAGACCAGACTGAAACTAACCTAATTGCAGGAGACATCAAAAAAGAAACCCATACGAAAACTCATCCCCCGACCGAACTCGCCCGGACTTCAAAGCACCTGAACAATTAGAAAAAGCTGTTTATCCTACTCTTCAAATCTGTTTGCATTTAAATGAGAATGCAACGGCGTCGATCAAGTTGTTGTTCACAGCCGGACCAGGCCAAGAACAGACCCAAAACAATCAACGAAAGATACGAACATCCTCCCGGAACTGCTATTTAAAAGGAATCAGTTAGCAACATCCAGCTCACATAAACTATTTACAGCAAATAGCAGGACCCATTGAGCCGCACGATCATGAAAGAACTCGGCGAAAAAGGGAATTAGTCTCGGAAATTGAATGCATGTCGCGTCTATCTGTAGACGCAACCGAGGCATCGTCACGGAGCTAAGAACAATGACTAAACCACAAACCAAATTGGTATTCCATTTCAGACCTGTAACATTCATGTGCGCGTGTAAATTACTGGATATTAGTGTTGTCATTGAATGGATAAGACAAGGTGTTAACATGTGGTAACACTCGGCCTTTTTACAAAATTTAGTTTATTGAGTTTGAGGCGAGGATGCATTACAGAAAGCCAAATTAATGAGATGGTATCCTGAAATGCTCCTGTCACATCCATTTCCATATGATGCTTATTTCAGGTCAGTTCAATCAAAGCGTTTTCCACTAACATCTGCACATCGTTTCTGAGGATGCACACCATTTTTTATACCAAAAACTACCAATAGTTGAGTTATGGCGAAAAACGAACTGTTCTTAATTCCAGCAGGAGATCAAAAGTCACAGAATCAATCAAAAACCAAACCTTGTATAGCGTGCCGTAATGAAGCATTTTTGGCCGATGCGGAGCGAGCAACCAGTTGAGGCTCACACTCTCTCCGAGCAAGTGATTCTGAAGCCAACGAATGTGATTTTTTCGTGTATAGCAGCCGACTGTCGTGTTGATGGAGCTGAGCACGCGAGTGAGGCGTTCATTCGCTTGAAGAGTCGACTCATAATCTGGATGGAATGGAGCGGTATCCGCCAATATCTAAAATGAAAATAGAGAAGTCAGTCAAAAGAACAAGGTATATTGTAACAAAGGTTTTATGGGGAAGGAAGACTGTTCAAGGAGATTGCTACCGGATGGCACCCGCATCTTAAGGAGTGTAGGAGAGGAAAAACGGAAGACAGACACACATAGGTAAATACAAGGGATGTAGATAACTAAATTGGACTCAGCGAAAAAAGGTGAGAAGCCATTGATGCATCAAAAGCCGTTCGGTTGTTGATCTGCTCGACAATCTTGGCGATTGGCCTGCAAAAGCTGTACCATAAGCGGAGGGAGCATCGCCAGTATTAGATTAAGTGGCTACATTCTCTTTTTGTGTCTGCCTTTACAGAGATTTAAGTGTCATCTCTCTGCATACGGAGGAGGAGACCTGGCATATTCAACTTGCGCGAACCCCTGAATCAGCCGCTGAAGAGGGGATTTCGACCGTCAGCTCGCATTGGAAAAGGTGGAAATACTGTCGCAGTCGAAAGTTATGTTTACGCACTTCAACCCATGCCGCAAGATCAACAGCTCCAGCAAAACGAAACTATGGTCATATCAAAACGCAAACCCTTGTCACCATTTTTGGTGTGACCGAGTTCCGAAAATGCTTTATGACCGACGCTTCACGTTTGTGAAAGATCACAAAACACTCCTGGCTCTACTTGATTCCAAGAAAGACATTTCAGTCTACACCGCGAATCAACTGCAACGGTGTGGCAGAATTCCAACCTTACCATAAAATATGCCTTAACTGAGAACATCAGATAGACAGATGCACTTCCGCGCTTGGTTGATTCTCACGTGATAGAACCAGAAAATACAGTCATAGCCGTCAAACCAGAAGTCTGTGCTGGGGTGTTGGAGACCCCAAATCAACTACCGGCGACTTTACACATGCCTTGCAATGCCATGAGAAATGCACTACAAAAGGCTATGGAGTAGTTGAGCATTATATTGTTCTTCAGAGGAACTTGGACAACCGTTTCAACGACAAAATTCGCTGTAGATGGTTGCGTTATTTTCGGCGACCGGATCGTTGTGCCCAGCAAGCGCCACCGTAGAGTTCTTGACTCAATTTCGTAATGGGCATCCGGAGAAAAGCTGCATGGAAACCATGGTTCGCAGCTATTTATTGGAACGGTGAGGATGAACATATGGAGTGGATATATCGGATCTGCTTCCGATATGCGGCAGCAATCAACAATCACCACAGCCTTGGTCAAAACCAGGAACACCAGGGTCGCACATCCGTGTGGATTTCGCCGAACTAGCTAACCAACAAAACTTCCTAATCGTTGTTGGTGCCTTTCGTTATGTTCAAGACAACAACTGCAACTTTTGTTTCCAACATTTGTCACTCCCCCCCCCCCGAGAAACAACAGTGTCCGGCAATGACACCAGTTTACATCCCATCAGTTTGGTGACTTCGCCCGAGGGTTGGCACCACGCATATTACTCCCTCATCATTCCATCTGCCGTCGAATGGTTACGCTGAGAGGTTCGTAGATACCTTTAAGCGCACATCGGCAAACGCAAGGGAGGGGGGGGGGACGCAGAAGTCTTGGACACCTTATTGTTGAACTGCGGAGAAACTTTCAACTCACGCTCTCCTGGCAATCGCTCATCAGCAGAAGTTATGATGGGAAAGTAGTTGAGACTTACACACAACGCTATCCTTAAACGTTTACGTTCAATGCATCGGCCACGGGAAGGAACTTGAAGTTCCGACCTAGGAGAGATGTACCTGTAACGAATCATCACCGTGCTCACGGAAATTGGAGTGTCGGAAGCATGCTCAAGAAAAAATCAGTCAGGTGATGTATAGCTTCCGGGTGGGGTCATCAATATAGAAATGGCCTATTAACCGGCTAAGGACGACTGATGACCCGATCCCGAAGACAGCCCAACCTATTGCCTGCAATCTTCGACCTTCAAGGGTTAGTAACAACAGCCATTACCCGCAAAAGATCCATTGTCGCAAACGGGGCGCCGGACCGATAGAGTCAGAAAACAGGTGGGACACCTCCAACGGGCGCGCGGAGGATGCCTTACGTCAACACCACAAAAGGGGGTGTCATGAAAATCAATCGCCCTTAAATAACCTCAGAATGCCATAAGCTTACTAGGAACTGTCAAAATCACTCGAGAAAGGTCGTCGAGTCGGCCAACGACAAAAACCAGCTATTAATTGAACGTCCAACCAGACAATCAGTGACGACTGAGGATGTCCGAGGATCAGGTATGACCCAGAAGCGATGCCGGCTATGTACTCATGGTATTTCTTTCCCTTTGAGCAGTCCTTTCTCGAATAAAAAAGAGCGTACTAGGAAGACTAAACCGATGCGAAGAATACAGACCAAAACACAATACTAACCCCAAGTGGACCAATGGGATTACGAGAAAGCTTCCCTGCAATCCTACGTAACACACATTAGACACCTTCACATCCTTATAAGTGCCAGTCCAAACGTGTACTGACACTGCGCTTGATCGATGATAAAACGGCTGCAATCCAGCTGCCAAGGAGGATGATCAGACCAACTACCAATGAATGTACTAGAGCTGCCGATATTACGACACACTGTTAAATGTAGAACTCGGTACGAGAGGGAAAGGTACATCACCTTCAAAACAAAACTTACCCGTTGGAGAAATAGTCCGTAACGAGTAAGTCGTTGGATAGGCTTTAACAAATAGCTAGACAGCGGCAAATTTCCGTGTTCGCACTGAAGTAGGACCATCTTCAGCTGGGGAACCACGATGAGAAGATGCTGCAGCGTTTGGATTGCCGACTCTTGATGCTTGCAGTAATGGCGGAACGCACTGAATTTCGGAAGCTGAATGTGTGAAAACCAATTCCAAAAGTCTTCAATAGAAACAAGAAGAGTGTGATGCGAAGTGATCGTCAAAGTGACAATACTCAACGTTTTGTTATCTCCTGTCTAGAATAAGTTTCTCTCAAGGGAGGATGCGGGATTGTGGTCATGTCCTATAAAGGCCAGTAACGGAGTAGCTGGGAACGAAACGCAACTGAATTACAACAGTGACAATAAAAAGCAATCACCCCTTCAAATGTGACTCCCAGTCTTGATGTGCAAGGTATTTTGGGAGGCGATATATTCAAGAAAAACCAGCAAGAATAGGGCACCTGCACCATTGCTGAAATAAATACCTTTGAGAACCATTTTGAGTGAGGCGTCATCAGTGGGATTGGTCGAGTATCTTGTGTGAAATTAAACCACTATAGCTCAGCATACAATATGAAATTCAGCTGAACGCTGGTTGGAAAGTGACAGCATGCTCGCCACCGGTCACGTACATGTCCTGCACGGCTTCCAACCGAAGACCACGTGGGATCCCAGCCCATAAAATGAGAAGGTCCCAAATCGCCTATTTTGATCGTAGTCACCTTTGTTCTACTTTGTTATGTCACGCTCTGTCCAGAGCAGACATTAACTTTCATCGGGTTTGCCTCTTCCTGCCATGTGAAAAGTTGTGATAGAACAGTATGGTGAGAAAGGGCACGGTAACCTGGACTGGAAAGATCGATGGATCGTCAGGTTGGTTGTGTCTCGATGCCCACCAAAAGCTGCTGCCTGAAGGAAACGTAATCTTAACGAGTTGATCGAATTTAGCTGTTTTTCGCTACAAATCATGTGCGAAATTGCAGTGGTTCCAGCTGCTACAGGTCCGTTCACCGAATTTAAAAAAGGGAATGAAATGATAGCGGTGAGAGGTAATGGCCGAGCGGTTNGTCCGAGCGGTTCATTGACGTTAAGTTGTTCGGATCGTCCGATGTAGTGGGGAGCGAGAGAACTATGTAGTGAAGCAATCACGTGAACCGAAAATGGCTCAAATCCCCTTAGACAACGTTCGACATGACTACGTAAACACCACTAGGTGTTCGCCAAAAGAAAATGAAATAAAAATTAAGAAACAGGAAGTGTTTAAATAAGTGAATGAAACATGATATAGATGTAATACACTGCACATAAGGTTGCTGAAAATTCTTCGACAACCCATGACTATTTCGCTCTTCTTGGTGCTCATTAGTTAGGCGCAGTCCCTGAGTTTCCGTCAGCTTTATGTTCTACTTGAACCTAAATTGGACAGATTTCGACCAAAATACTCATTTGCACATCACTTTGGTTTTCATGGGAGACTCGGATGAATCGCTCGTTTATGAAGTTCAACTAAATGTGCAGCACAAAGGCCGCCTCACGTTTCATTTGTTACGGCGGTAGTTTTGTGTTCACTAACGATTAATTAAATAAACCAATAAACAGAGGGATCCCTTGGATGATCGTTTTGTGGAGCACCCGATGGACGATCTTCAAGCGGGCCGAGGAGTTTTGTAACAACTTGTATATGAATTCTCTCTCACCAATCCTGGGTGTTCTACATGATTTTAGCGGAGTGCTTGCTTCCATTGGACAATATTTTCATTGTTGGTTACAGAATATAAGGCGAGGAGCAAAACTAACCGTTTGTTGACTCAGTTTTCTTGAATGTACTAACAACTTATTTTGTTTTACTCGAATGTGGGCTGTCGAAGAGTTTTCACTAACCTTATGAGTAGTGTATTACGTCTAAACAAGGCACAGTGATATCTCGAATATCGCACTAACTGAAACATGAGGCGGCTTAAGAGTTGCTTAAGAACATCATAAAAAGCGACAGGTTCAGCTGCGTTCCAGGTATTTCTCCCGTGAAAAAAAATTGATTTGCAAATGAGCGTCGAAACATGATATGCTTTTTACCAAGTTAGTTATCTTAGCCGTCCAGTGAATTTACAGCTTTGCTAACAAACGAGGTCGCGTTGAAGGGACATACTATTGGTCGGTGGCACTGACGTCAACAAATCAGTTAGGCCCTTTTACAAAACCATCGCCTTCGACATGCAGCTGGACCTGTTCAACGGCAGTGTGGTTTTTCAGCGCATGGTTGTTATGTGCAAACCCAGGGAACGGAAGTGTAGTAACTAGTAACAACGTGCCTATTGTACACCATTTGAAGTCGACAATGTGAGCTGAATGGCAGCGGTACGCGCTCACTTAGTCAAGCGCTGATTATAAAAAACGTAACCAAATGAGTGTGTGCTGTCACCTCATCAAAATGCAGCTTGCGTGTGGTTGACTAACTGGTCCGAACCATACGAATGGATGGCAGCTAATCTGCTTACTTGTTGCAGAAACACCTTCCCAATGGGGATAGGAGAATTGTTGACTTCCGGACTGCCCGCCACATCCATCTGCTGCTGTAGTGCGCTAGAGAGCGGGATTGAAAGGGATGGGGTTACTCGGGTTAAATAGATGCAGACATCCATTTTACAAGTACTCATGAAAAGCAAAATAAGCTCTGGCAAACTGATGGGAAAGATTACCATCTAAAGGAGATTCATGTGGAACCAAAAGCGATGCGTAGGAAACTAAGAATGTTGGTTTGTTGATGGACGAATCATTTGCGGAGATTACCAATTTTCTCACGATGCGCTGTTCCGCTAAACAAAGGCGTATTCTGATGTCACCCCGATTGGAAGTGGAACACATTCAAAGAACATTCCGGCCATTAGTAAAAACAACAATAGGCGAATAACCCCAAGAAGCTATGAAGATGACGTAACAACGTTTAACGTACCGGTGGAATTCTAACGACAATTGATGTAATTCTACAAAGTTCGAGAATATTTTGGTTAGTTCATCTTCCGTAAGAACTCCAACCCGACGTATCGGTTCACAGAAGTCCTAGGACAAAAACAAATAAATCGGAAATCAGGATAATCGCGAAATCGGTTTAACAAATCTCCCTTTCTCTTAACATGTTTCCAAGTGATACGCGCGGTCAAAGGAGAGCTTCAGGACAACTTCGATTCGCATAATATCACAAGTATAGTTCAAACGGGCCAACTGTGAACTGACTGGAATTTTAATCAACAGGATGGACGGTAAATCAAGTATTCGTCTAGAGGACAATCACTACAACAGTTGACCACATATCTTTAAAATACTGCACACTCAATCGGATTAAAACTAGGATATGTAAAATTCGAAGTCTATCAACAGCCCCTCAATGTTCGGAGCGCATTCAATAAGGATCAGACGTATGAGACACAACAGTTGCGGGAATCAGAGGCTCATTCCTAGAAAATCTAAAATACAAATAGCATAGTGGACTTACATTCGCACTAGATCAGTGTTAGTCTCTTTAAAATACGACAGATTGCCGGAACACATCTCCATTGTATGCAATGAAGCTTAGTATGGTCACATGCTGTAGAGTCATTATTACACAACAGTCACTGTGACTGAAGTAGCCCTGTGTCTTTTGCGTTTTTTTTTGAAGGGAAAATTCACTAGCTCAAGTATCTTGGCAAGCCGAAATCGCCGTCTATTTTCGATGAAACCAGATCGTTCATGCTCAGTGATTGTCTGACTGTATTTTGGAAAACACTGAAAAGTTCACCTGGTGTTTTGAGACATTTCTCGTTCATTCAACCTTGAGCAATCAACATACTTTGAGCCAAACTGTTCCCCGTCGGAAAACGAGCCAGAAAGTTTATTTAAAAAACGAATGGAATGCCTGGTAAGCAAAATCCGATGATAAAAATGTTGACCATAAGAACAGTTCAATCAATTTCACAAAGCTCACTAACGAATCATCATTGGGCATGCTACGATCGACTGGAATCATGTGAGTTCACAGGACCACACAGTGATGAGAACAACAGAATTCCTGAAATTGATTGGTTTCACCAAAACAGTGAGATGACGGAACATTTCAACGGCATTTCACCTGAAAACAGTAAGTGCTACAGCTACAGGAAAAAACGGAGACGGGATATCGAGCACCAAACTAGATTTTGCCATGGTGTGAGTTTAGTCCCTGAGTAGGTGGATGATTGGAAATAATACGTTTTATGAATGGTGTTCATTGCTGTCCGTTGAAAGAAGGTAATGATTTCAGCGCAGCAGGATGGTGGTCTGAGGGGAGTCAGCAATGTGACTTGCTTCGTGCAATCGGTGAACCATAGTCACCCGTCACTGGTCGTGCACTGCACTAACCGGAAGTTTCATGGTTCGAACCCAACTCCGGCATCTGGACTGCTCCTGTCTGGACTTGGTAGTGCCTCAGCCTTGGTGCTTCCTTCGAAAGACACCAGAGTGTTACACATGAACGGTTTTTACTTGCCAACTGTGTGGAAAACAAAAACTATTACGATAATTGCTCTGGAATTCTTTGAGAAAGGAACCGGTCTGTCCTAATTAAGCACGTTTCAGGGCAACCGTAAGTGACTGCGTGGAGTCACGAGGCACACTCTTGAACTAGTTCTGAAATAAAATCTCTTATTTAAGGAGTCTAAGTGCAAGTAAAGTGCCGGAAATATGTGATTTAAGTTTACATGATGTTTGTAGTATGGTCGTTCACAAACTTTGAACGCAGTAGAATGTCCTCATTAGAGCTAATGCCATATCAGGTCGCGTGATTGGTGAACTATGTAGGATGGAAAACCCCTCTGAATAATCGACAGCCATCAGCACTTCTTTGAAGACATCATTTCCGGCAGGTAGACCTGAAATGCAGATGTTTCTCGCCAGGGAAAATAATACCTTGTCTCAACCCCGCTTACGGGGAACGCGTGAGAAACAATTGGAAAGTAAGTACTGACTAACTGATGCAGTTCTACGGTAAGACCTAAAACAAACAACTCTCCTGGGTGGCACATTTTAAAGCAAGGTATGTGTGTAGAAAGGGTTTGAGCAAAACGCTGAGGACCTAGTACGTAAAGAAACTTTCTGAGGGCGAGAATTCTCACACCTATTGAATGCAGACGAAAACAAGAGGTTCACACAAGACCATGAACTAGGTCCAAGACATCAGACGATCTGATAAGTAACGATGGCAAACCAGTGGTGCTTTGAATATAAACTTACAGTCTGAAGTTTAAGGAGATCGGAAGCGTAGATTTCCTCAGTTTGCAAGAGCTCGAAAATCGCCAAGTTACGTTTGTGTTCCCGTGATCCGTCCAGTTTGGCAGTTGATTCCACTGTACATGATTCTGTTGCATGCTTTGTGTTCGCTGTGGACACAAAGGCTGACACTAAGATCAAGTTGAAAGGAAACATAACAATGATTAAATGGGATACACAAACGGAAGGACAGGACCACAATCGACGGAAAAAGTAGTCTGACAACTTGATAGCAAAACCTACAGCAGCAACAGCAGCCAAAGCGACGATAAATATAATGTTCGAGGAAAGAATACCACAGAGATGGAAGTGATCGTGCGTATCCTGTACAATAGAAATTAGTAACACGTCATGAGAGAGTTCACACGTTGGAAAACAGACTTAAGGCATATTAAAAAACTAAAATAATGAGTGCTCAAGGCATAGGAACTTCAGTTATATCGGTTCATAATTCTTCCGGCCAAGAGGATAATTGTCTTAGAATAGGCTCGGAAAGATTCTTATGGGCTATTTGGGATACTTGTTAGGGGAACTTTCAATCGAAATCTGTTACAATGAACCTAATCGGCTATAATTTCCACCCACTTCAAACCGCTTTGTGTAGATGCGAATTGATTTCATGCAGACAACTGTGTACGACTGATGCGCTGTATGTTAGTGCCAGTGCGGTTGTTGGGTGTCTTAAGCTGGTTGAGCGTGAATGTAAAACGCATTAGATGCAGGACAAAACCAGTCCCGATGGAGAGTACGTTGTCAGCTCGTAGATGTATCACTTAGAATGCCGGTGCATTCTTGCATTTGCATCATTCTAAGCTGCGTTTAACTGAAAATACGCCGTTTCCTCGCTAATTTGGGTGACGTTGTCATGGTAGAAAACAGAACGTTCGCAACTAAACTGTCCAGCCAAGTGAATAAATTACAAATAAGACTTGATCCATCAAGATTCACCCGTGATGATGATTTCCCATTCTGGGGTTGTAATACAAGTAAGCACTGATATTATGTACTGAAAACGAGTACTTTGGTGCAACTTTAGAAATAACTTCCATCCACAGCTGCCGTGAATGCCCCGAATCCTAGGGCATCCAGTTGGGTGTGATTCAAGGGACGCAGATGAATAAAAATTAGCAAGCCACGCACATATTTATGAGCACAAAACAGCAAACTATGTGATGGGGAATAATATGGGGAAAAAAGCACAAAAATGGGAAAATTGCAACCAGAGGAATGAGTGACAAATGCCGCTACATGCTGAAAAAATTTTCTGATGTTGGGGTTTAGTTAAATAACCTGATTGGAATCAATCGCAAGTACTCCTTCTGGTGTGTTGCTCTCACCAATTTTCTAGCTGAATTCCTTTTCCCTCCCAAAAGAGGACAAGTCGGAATATACAATAGCAGAGACTGAAGTTTCCGAAATCGAAACTTGAAACACAAAACTAGTGTAAACGTTTAAAACCTTCATTTTTGAAATGAGAAGTCCAAATATACATGGAACAAAGAGATGAGACTGACAGCGTGGCTCAGACCACCGACCTCTGGCTCACAGCACGAGCATCCCGAGAATGTTTGCCGATTCTCATGTATATGCGCAATTCAGGTTGGTGGTATAATCTCATCTGCAAGTGTGTCTTTTCCGTTCATAGACTTAGACTTCTGACTTCAAGATTTACCAAACCCCACTCGGGCGAGATGGACCAAGTGATTAGAGCGCGAATTTACTGGCTGGAAGGTCCGTGATTTGAACCCGACCTCTGCCACTCAACTTCCCCTGTCTAAGCTTGGGCAACCTGGCAGTATCCCAGCACTCGTGTAGCATGGCAGCTAGACACCGAAAGGGTGCTACAGCTGGACGATTTGTAAGCAACCCTCTATTGTGTAGTGGAAACCGTTCTAACATTTAATCTACGCTGATGATAGACATGATTTCTGAATGAGAAAAAGTCGAGGAAGTTGAATACAGATGTTCGTTCTATTAGGGCAGAAGAACAGTGTGATTGTATTGACAGCTGAGATATGGACCAGTAGGCCTTATGTCGAAAGCAGTGCCAGTGATCCAACTAATTAGCTCACCCGTATATCATCAGAGCGAATCAAGTAACGTAGATCAAACTCGTGAACCCTGTTTCAGCCATCATTTCACATGCTACACAGTCTCCAAAAAGCATACGAATTTGTGGAAATGCATTGAGCAGGCAACACTTTGGAATCCGGCAAGCAAACGACAGTTGTATACACCACAGTCAAATGAATGAAACAGAAAATAAATGAGTAACATATATTGATCATGCCGTAACACCTTCGAACAAATCAGTGAAGGGCTCACATGCAAGATCACTAAGGATAAAAACACACCAATGATGTCAAACCAGCGAAAAGATGCTGTAGACGGAAGGAAAGCGACTATTATGTATAAAATGACAGGAATGGAGATAAACAGTCGGGAAAACAGAATCGCATGGACAAATCAGGAGACCTTAAGGGAACCGAATTTGTTGAACGAGCCTGTCAACTAACTCTAAGTCAAAACTTAACTCGAATTACACCAAAGTCGGAAAAAGTGGTTCGATCTGAGTAGGGCTGAACGAAAAGGTGGATGAAGTTGGTAACAATGAAATGACATCTGTAGCAGATTCTTTTGCCTGTAAATCAAATTATCCCTTCATGGTTCCGGGCCAGAAGAAGGTTGGACATATCTCTAGCTGGTTTATTCCGGTTTTATCACAAATATATCATACTGTCCGTAAAAAATGGCTTCCAACTAATTCATCGTCAAATGCTTGATCTGACTTTAGTTAAACCAAACACTATTGACGGAAATTTTTCCCAACACAAATCTAACAAGAATAACACAGGGTACTGATGCGCCAAGTATAGTTTACGTGGTGCTGAGATTGAGAGCGGTAAACAATATATTTTAGCTGTTACCCTAGAGGTTACTTGACACATTGATTAAAACCACAGCAGTAATACTGTAAAATCCAAACCAACGGAAGGAACAACTTGGCGATGCAAAAAGAGCATTTTTTGTCGGGAGATACCAATTTTTGTCCGGGTGTTGGCAACAAAAAATATTTGCATGGATTATAAGTTTGAAACTCGATGACAAGGGACCTCGATTTAAGGACGTGCGAAATTTTGGCTGACGTATCCCAATCACTATATCGAGAGATCGAGAGACTATCTGTGTTCGTCATTTGACTCGTCCAACTCCGGAAGTGGCCTTTGAATAAGGACACCATTCGTGGGTTCTGATGCCCCACTACACATGTTTACATCAAGACACCATTGGATTGCACAGACAGATGGGTTTCATCAGCACTGCCCGGAGATGGTGGCGCGTCTTTGTGTTGGGAACCGCGCCCATCAGTTACCACAGAGTTCTCAAATAGAATTTGATTGGAGCGATCGCTCCGATCACAAATAAATGAACCCCACCTCAATTGCCAAACAAATATCACGACAACCAACCCCAGTACGTGTGACTTGAGTCCGAGAGTATCAGAGCGGGGTTCGATCAGAAAGAAGATACATCGGCACGTACACATTACATCAAATGCTTGAGCAGAAACAAAACATCGTGGTTTTCCTCGACATGCTAGAAGCTACTGGCTCCGCGGTTAGGTCGGTCTTTCTACATAAAGCTAACCAAAACAGAAAACCCAAACTGTCGGCAGTGTTTGGGCTCACAAGCATTCAAAGGTCTTTCCCCAACTAGTCAACTCCGTCGGGTGTTGCCCCAGATTTCTATTTCTGTTTAATGGTGTGGTTCAGGTATTTGTAGAATGCATGCTCCAAAGCATGCATGATTGTGAACCATCGTTTGTCCGCACAACCAGCTAAGAACACAGTATGAGAAGAGGATATCCCGTTTGGGCACGCCTTTTGCAGCTTCAAAATATAGAGTATTCACACAAGATTCTCAGTGGCCATGTAGCCATTTGATAAGGTAGCGTGTTGGTAAGTTAACCCAGTTTACCAGCTAGAATAGCTGTCATTGCGACCCGAACCACCAAATGATGGTGGGGCAAATCAGTGGTAAAAGTAGGGATCCACTGACCGGAAGGTTCGTGGTTCGAACCTGGCCTCCGCATCGCGATTTCTCGTCTCTAGGTAGTACCCAAGCCCTCGTTCTTCCTTCGGGTGGCACGACAGCCAGATATTGAAAAGAATATTACAACTGAATCATTATATTGTTACTCTAAGTGGTTCACGCTTATACCCAGGTACGTATGAGAGTCATCTTTTCAAGACCTTCCTACGGTTTAGTGAATAACTTTTCAATCATCAGTGTGCATACTGATGATGTTCCCTCGATTGGTCATAAAACGTTTGGAAGCTCACTTTCAAGACCAGCGAACAGATCAACGACCACCTGATCAGTTACAAATAAACGCACCCGAGCTATCAACGCGTCCAGTTTGGTCGCTTTTTGCACTTGGTTGATGTTAGGCGAAGTATGTAAGGATACTGGTTCCATCTCTAAAATGATGTTGGCACTGTTCCAAGTTGAAAGCATCATTCTCGTACGTTTTCTTTGCAGGTAGTCTCGTTCCTCTGTCTTGTTTTTACACATTACTATGGTCTTCTTTTTACCAAGGTTGTCTGTCAAGTGAGTAGTAGTATTTGCTGTTCGCCTGTTGCTGTCCTTCCGGGTAAGAATCGTGACGGTTTACTCATGGAGTGTTTACTTTCACAAGTCATCCCCACGTTGTCCGCCCTTTTAAAGTAATCACAATCCGGACGGATCACACTAACCGCATTGGTGATCCTTTCTCTTGTGGGAATACCACATACAATCAACTTGCGTACTGTGACTAACTTAGTTCCCAGTGCATAAAATTTACACCGCTTTTGGATTACTTAGTCTCACAAAACAAATAGGGTAAGTGCATATCGATTGACCGTACACCAACGTTGTAGCAGTAGAACATGGCTCTCGGAAGGGTGGCTAATCTGCATAAAAGTTTGTCGTACACTTTGCATGAGTCTACGCACTATTTTGGTTGTGAATCACACGCAGGCGCTACTCTGGGGTGTCATCTGCGAAAGCTAACAGGCCAATATTTTCTATACTCAGAGGAGTTAAAAGTGCTTGAAAAGGGAGCCGTATAAATGCGGGAAAAAGGGGCCGTCACGTATTGCAAGACATAAAACACAAAAAATAACGCTGTTGACCGATACTCCAATTTCGATTCGAAGTGATCCCAGCTGCTAACTATTCATCCACATGGAGTAGAATGAATGGACGACACCCACGCTCTGTAGCAAAAAGAAACCCACCAAGGTCACTGACGCTTGTTCGGTTTACTTTCGTCACACAATTGAAGTGGTTGATCGCAGAGCGCTCACACGGATCTATTTCCTTTCATCATACCATACAGTGTACAAATAATCGAAAATGCTCCGGGAGTTCCTATAATTTCGAAAGTTTGCAGTCTCCTTGCAACGCTAAAACAAGACCTTGATAGGAAATTGTTGAAAGTCGGCGAGGGCCGGGAACGTTTGGAGCAAGAGATGGCCCATACGAAGGGACGCAAAAGCACCGCATAACAGCACCATGTATAAAGTGCTTTGGAATTAGGCACTGAGTTGATAAGAAAACCAACCGAACTAGGCATAAAAGCTTGCGGGCTGAATAAAATCACTGGTATCATATCAATCACATAAGTCAAAAATCGTGAGCATAACGAGGGAGGCCAGTGAGGAAAATAGAAACGCAAGGCGCGTTAACAACGACGCAATGCAGAACACACAAATTCCCTAGGGCCAGCGATTGGGACGAAAATAGGGAAAACGACCATATTGAGTCGCAGACGAAAACCGGGAAGTTGTAGAAGTTCGGGGGTGAAATATGCAGTCCGAAATGTGATGACTGAAAAACGCAGTTTTCTCCTAATAAGAAGCACCAATAAAGATTAAGGTTCGCTTTGTGTCTGATTTCAGTACGAACGGAAAGGCGAACAAAAGGATGGATGAGTAGTGCCAAATTCCTCAACGGTATAGATGTAGCCAATACAGTGGTAAAATTGCTAGGCAAACTGGGGACAATGGGAAGGCGCGTAGACGGACACAAACAGCGAGAAAACCAGAAGTCACAGAAAGGCGTTCTAGCCATTTCGAAAGGGCAAGTTATGCTCCGAAATGTATATATGTGAGCCAAACGGTGGTGAATAATGTTTAATGTCAGTCCGTCCAACTCAGGTCTTCTTATTCGTGGCTGCTTTAGGATGATCAGAATGGACAGAAACGAATAAAAGCGCCATTCAGTTTGTCAGTGGATAGTAGCGAAAGGAATGAGACGTACCGATGTTGAAAGATGAAAATTCCAGCAGGTTGAGCAAAATCCAGGAGAGCGTTTTGTTGCATATGGAAACATCGAATGGCAGAACCGAGGGGAGGGAAGATTGTAAACGTTTGTTAAATGATCAAAACAGACGGAAAAGTGCACTCCAAATTAGGAAAATCAGCTTGATGTGAATTAACAGAGTTGATTACTCGACATAACAGAGAAATCGGAAGCCACCTGCTCTGCAAAGGTAGCGGCCAAGGTTAAAGCAATCAAGCGAAAAATCCGTGCATGGCAGGAATTATAAGATTGGTGGAAAAAATCCCGAGTGAGCATCAATCGACAAGATGCATCAAACAAAGTCACATGGTGCGCACGAACGAGGGAAGAATTTCTACGTTGGTTTATTTCTACATTTACAGGATTGGTCGACGACACGGTATGGTATGCAACCCACCTACCAGCGCCTAAAATTAGAACCTTCACACCCCAACTAAATATGCCACAAACAGTTAATTGGTTGGACGTATCCGGAAGTTTGCGAGGTGAGAAATACTTCAGTGCGCATTGTCAGGAGAGAAAGTAGTTACAGGCCAAAAGCTACGCCTTCTTGGTATTCTGAAACTATTAGCAAGTGGATTCGGGCGTTCCAAACCTAAATATATTCCAAACGAAGCACATTTGAGCTGGCTTGGGCTTGTAGCTGTACACATGACTTCGTAACGCAGATCACATGCAAGTGTCACCAAGCGGATCTGACTGTATGCTTTGTAAGTACAAAAAAGAATCAAACCGATTGTCGGAAGGGGGAGGAATTTTCACGCCGCTCAATGGATAAATACCGGATCACAAGTATGATTCCCGAACGATGTTCACATCAGACGTATTCAGGCCTGCGATCATCCATGGAATATGTGTATACTGGACAAACAACCTAGCATATTTGAAGGAAGTAAACCTGAGCTAGGAACCGGGATGGCGCAAGTAACGCGAACTAGGTTAGTACTCACGGGGATGGACCGAACGGGCTGCATCGGGTTAGAAAAAAGAGTGTTTAGGTCTTGACTAACGCATAACACAGTATTGGGAGTCTAGTCAGGGAAGTTGATCAAGCTGTACCTGCGATCCGGAGGATTCGAAGCAGCAATGAGTCACAAAGGAAGTGCACGCCGTCCACTCTCCTGTGCGCCAGTAAATATTTGGAGTAAGAAAATAATAAGCATTCTGAGTGGCCCAAGGGTTTACACAACGTAATCAGGCGTCGTCAACTCTTGTAAATACTCGTTTTCCTTACTATGAAAGACAACAGCATTGCGCAAGCAGTAGTGGCTGCATCGAACCACGTGAGATTTATTTTATAATTTGTGAGACGTACGGCCACCATAAAAACAATCTATCAATGGTGATGATGTGCCCAACAAATCGACTCGATACTAGACTTTATATAAATTCAGGGGAAAACAATACTATCAGTCAACACTGCACAAAGACGGACGGATAGTCAGTGGCCGATAGAAAAGCCATGTATATGGGCATTCGTGAGAAGTTAAAGGGAAATTAGACACTTGCTAACGAGGAGAACGGGGGAGTGGGCGAAAAACCAAATACAAAAGATGGTTCATGTGTAAACAATGAGATCACGCGTCAGTCGAAAATCTGTGACAGGCGCAACTGTAAATAACAGAAATGTGTGATAGTACGCCGTAACAGACAGGCTGATTGTAGTAGAATGAACACTGAAAACTGAAGAGCTGATATGAGTGTAAAAGTTAGGTTTGTAGATTAGTCAGCTTTAGTACCTGTCAGTTACATCTGCGGTCGATGAGAAGAACTCAATATGATCGCATGTGGTCATTCAAACCTGTTTGCATACTACGTAGGTTACAGAAGAAAAACAGCGTCCTACTGCGATGGGTTGCGTAAGCCATTTGGGCCTCAGGGGAGCTGACATCTCCTCTACCTTTTATTTAATGCATCAGAACAGAAAATCCAACTCAAAGCACTAGGTTAACGGGGTTTCAGAAAGTGTGCAGGCCAATACAGTATTTGCAGCAGATGTGGCATGGATTACTAGTGAGTGGTTGCGTGACACGCACGGTATACATCCATACCATTATCGTCTGTACACTCCTGGGGTCGCCCTCGTCAGAACTCACTGGCAGTTACTATCCTTGAATGTACTCGGATATAAGCTTCGGTTAACTAACAGGCTAAGTGAGCTTGTTGCCGGTATGTGTTGACACCAGCGTACGACGGATTATCATGTCAGAACAGGCTCAGTTGTTCGAAACTTGGTCGCTGCTCAAAGTGCAAACATTTGTCAACTCAGTTGCAGGGAGAGAGAGAGAGAGGGCCGAACAACGGTAAAATGCCCGCCTGACACACCAGAGTCTCAACTCGAATCAGAACCATAGGCGACCACCCAAATGAATGATGTAGATCCAGAATGAGAGTGACAGCACTGAGGAAAAACGCGTTGGCACTCAACTTTGATGCTTAATTGTCGTAACATGTCTCCATCACGTGCACACTGACGTAATCTGGGATTCATAACACAACTAAAAACGAATTAATCCGACGATGTAGACGGAGCAGTGGTGCCTTTGGGCCATAACTGATCACCTTGCCAACCCTATCCCCATTACATGACGCTGATTTGTGAAAAATGAACACCTGAAAAGTGCAATGTGACAGTTGGTATGCAAACAGTAAGTCGCTCACACATGGTGCACTTTCAGTGCGCATTTGCTGTGTAAACCAAAGTAAACGCAAAAACAGAGGTGCTGCCCACTTAAGTGGAAGGTCGCGTTTACAGCAAATATTTTGGTAAGGAAATGCAGTGCGCTGCATTTTCTCAAGCACAAGGAAAACTTGCGCGAGTCTGGGACAACAGGACTAAGATAAAACACCACTAGCATCCCGGTGAACCAGTGCTCCAAGCTAATCAAGAGAGTTAAGTCGCGTTAACTGCGATACAAAGCAATGGATGAATATGTGAAGCGGTGAAATATGTAAAGTGCACATGAACCAGGACAGAATAAACATGGCCTCAACATCTGGCAGAAAATATACAAAGGTGCGTACACGAGACGGTACCGGTCGTTGTTGGTCCATGTGGAACAGGTTGCTTAGAAGGAGCTCCAGGCACGGGTTGGGTGTAGGGTCGTACGTAGTTGACGGGGAATAAACCTTCCGCACCAGATGACTGCAGACGACCACGCCACCATTCTGGTTCATCCCGACCGAGAACTGTAATCACCGAACCCTCTTCAAAGGTTAACTCATCGGCGTGGGCAGCTCTGTAACTAAAAATTGCTTGCATCATTTCAACTGAACGATTTCCGATAGCGGTCTGCGTGGGTTGTGTAGGCTGAGCTGACTGGGATGGGACTGTGGATATGGCCGGTATCGGCGGCTCGGTAGTTGGCATTTTTGGTGAAGTCGTAGTGTGGGTAAGCGTAGTACCAGTAGGAGCTTCAGAAGTGGAGACCGTAGTAGTGATTGAAGAGCACGAATCAGTTGTGGAACGTGCTGCAGTCTTGAGCGGTCCTGTAGGTGAAGGGGAACATTGAACGAGATGGAGAGCCCAATATTCACCGTGAAACATTACAACCTTACAGTTCGGTCGTCTACCGAAATATGGAACCCAAAACGGTGGGTATGGCTGACTGCGTGAGTAGTTCGAGTCCTAACTCAAATTGCAGATAACTGGTTGGAGCATCAGATAATTGTACACCCGACTGTGAGATGCAGCTCTAAACAACCTCTGGCTCATCAATATTAGACGGTACTTTATTGTTCCCTCCACAGTAATCGGCCTTTTGACTCCCACTCACAAACAATCCATCAGAACTAGGTGTTCTGTTCTCTGTTGGAAGATTTAATTCATTGATGACTGCTAAAATTGAGAAGTCTTGTTGGAAGGTGAATGTTGCTCTTCAACCTGAATAAAAGAAGAGCGATCATACTGCCGTGGGTAATTTCACAAAAAGAAGGCAGACAGAAAGCCCATTCATATATGCATCGGGGGTGGTTGAGGCAAAAGCATCGAAGCTAATGTCTCGGAAACTTAGCGGAGGAGCGAATCCAGTTATTTGACAGATGGATCAGGAAGCCCGGATGACACAACATCTGGAATACATCTCAGAAACTTACGTAAAACTACTTTAGAGCCAAAGAATATGCAAAACCAGCCAACGGCGAGGGTGCACTTGTTCAGCGGATAAAGTTCACCTACATATGGCCAGATGTGGTTGAATCCACAGGGGGACAGACACAACAAGACTGTTTTGAATTATACGAACTTCTCATGACGTGGAATCAAGAGGCCTGACCTCAAACATCAGCTCAATGGGGTCCATCTAGAATTTAGTAGTCCAGATCAAACAATCTACGCCCCGCACGTAAATTTCTTTTCATCCACGTCAGTACATTTTTAGAAGACCTGACAGTGTACCGGAGCAAAAACGTATAATACAGTACGAAAGATTTGATGCACATGCTCCAGGGTTCAAAAGACAAGGAGACCTATGAGCATAGTTAATCCTCTTAGACCATCCTAATCACCCAGTCTGCTTTTTAAGGAAAATTGAATATTCTTATCCGTGTACGGTGATCCCCTCCATTGGACGGAGTAACCATTGGGGAGATCGCTAATTTGCCTCGGGAACTGAGTGTTCGATGGTTAAGATAGTTTGTTTTATAACTTTATTATTTCCTTCTGCATATCGAGTCCTGTTTGTGACGGAATGTCACCACAATGAGCGATAAAACACAGGCACTGTTTGAAGGCCAAATATCAAGTGCATCCCAGCAAGCTTATTGAGATGTGAAAGAGTCGGAGAATCTTCTCCCTTGGCCTCACAGTTCGCCTCCACTTCTTGTCATCCTTCCTTATTCAGCTTCATTTGAGCTAGATCCTGCAGTATTAGCTTCAAGCTCGTAGCTGTGTATGCTGGGTAGTCAGCAATGCGCCTCAGAGAGAGCAAGCCTCAGCTTGCATTAGTAGGAAAATCGCATTGGATAAGCGCACTTCTATACACCACACATGCCTGATTGCAGGCCCCAAAGTGTCGAAATATTAGCAGGTCCGATCAAATTACATTGAACTCGCGTCTAACTGCTGTAAATAGGGATGGTATTCGGTGGCAGCTGCGCTTTTCAGTGAGATTGGAGGATGTACACTACAGCTATTCAGAGTGAGTAACAAATGGTAATGACTTTCAAAGCACTATCTTTTAATTCAATTCTTTTTTTATCCTATCCATCCTTTGCCAACATCCCCAGAAACCTATATAACATTGGAAATTCTGTCGCATTGTTTTCAGATGTTTCTGAAAGTCATATACTGAGCAAACTAATAAGTTGAACTAGTATCTTAGGCTGATAAAAATGTCTCAAACAGAACTCCCTGTAGCGCTGGATCAATTATTTCTGGATAGAAGTCCTCACTTTGGAGGATCAGAGAGAACAACGAATTTGGGTAATGTCCCGCAAGGACTCCGTTCATACTGAGTTGAATGACCAGCATTGGACATCTAAACGACAAAAAAACCCAAAGGAATCCACTCCACGTCGTCACTTTCGACCAAAACGAGGTGCCTTTGGGGCACAGTGGACTAGTGTCATCCTCTCGGAGAGATAGCACAGATAACAATATTTAAAAAGCGGGTTTCGATCGTACATCTGTCACACATCAGCGTACGCAAGCAATATGGGAACGGAACTCCTTCAGTTTACAATCAATTGGAAAAAGTTTGGAACCGATTGAGAAGTCATTGTTCCATATGCATGCAGTCCCACGCAGTCCACTCTGTTAACACAGGGATGCTTGGCGATTTCTACCATCTCAACCGTCAGTCTACGTTGCGTGGACGGTAGTTCTCGCCTCGAAACCTCAACATTTCCTAAGTCGATTTTGTGTCCCGTGTCTAATGCATGCTCCACCATTGCCAAGCATTTAAGTAAAGCTCGATATTCATATGCGATTTTCGGCAGCCTGTTTATTTTCCTTCGGTGTTCTCCGATTCGGGTGTGAAGTTCCCTGGCCATCTGTCCTATATAGACCTTAGTGCAGTTGTTACAATTGTAGACAGTCCCTGGTTCTGTTTGCCGGGAGGAGATTCTTCAGTCGCACCAGTGCACAGCGTAGAGTGTATCTCTTCTGGAAGGCTATTCTTATGCTAGCCGTGTTTAAAATCCTTCAAATGACCCCGATGTTTCTGGTTTGTATGGAATAACAGCAATCCCAATCCGTTCTCTTTCGGGTTTCGGCACCGGTACCAACACCTTCGCAATGGACGCCTAATCAAACTAGCCGGATGTCCAATACCACGAATATCGTTCTTTACTTTAATTTGGACCGGTTTCGATATCCGCTACTTTGTTGGCAGTTATATGAATTCTTAGTGAAAGTAAGGGATTTCCGGTGAGGGGTTCCCACCCATCTGGCCAGCTGATGGGGTGGGAAAACTATTCCGTTTACTATCGGTCTCACCAGGGCATCTGATTTATGGATTTTTGGTAGGTCGTAAAATCATGGTTCGATTGCACTTTTGGGGTACAATCGACCTTCTTCCTCTCCTTTGACTGAACTTATTCCCTTCTATGGGATATCCGAAATGGATCAAAAATATCTGCCGATTTCAGCTTTACTTCTTTTCAGTATAGGTGTAATATTTCTACTATTGGTCCGCCGGTAAGGACCATCAGCTAGGTGTTGCTCGACCTTCTTGATCATGACCACAGTGGCGATACGCTTATCCTCCATTATGATCACTATGGTTTCCATCTGTTTTGGGGTGTTAAACGCTTTTCCCTCCGATGGTGTAATATTTGGAGCTTCTGGCTGTTGGGACTTCAGGAATGTGACCAGCTGTACCCGTCACTTCTCCGTTGACGGTAGTTTTTGAAACACAAATTCAACGCTAGGAATATTTCTTCCTGATCATCAATTAGCTTATTGCAAAAGCCAATCCCTTTTCTAATAGACAACGCTCTTCCTCACTTAGCGGTCTTTTTGATATACTAGCCACGCTACAATAGCTAGTAGCGGTTATTTGAAAGGCTCCTCCTAACCACATCAAAGATGTGCGCCTTATCCTTAGGTTTAGGCCAAAACTAGGCACACTCCAGCGACTTATGCCATCATATTTTCGTACTCACATAATTTAGGTAGTCTTGATCCTTTCTGTCTGGGTAACAGGCGCACTGAAGATATTCACATGATTAGAGCCTCAGATGAGCATACTAGGTCAAGATCGCAGGTCTAACAACAACTTACACCTTTCTGTGTTGCAAAGTTTGTGAGCCAATCGACTGTGCTTAGCACGTCTTGGAAACTGCATCGCGGGGTACATCTGGGGAATATAGTTAAGCGACCGAACAGCACGTATAATCCTATATTTACGATTTTTCGGTTTCTTCCACGCAGTTTCCCTTTGAGTACACTTGCTTCAATATATAATTACCCCGACGAAAAGCTTGGGCACATTGTTTTAGCACCTTATAACCACTAAAAAAGCTGATCAGCTTTTACCTCACCACGTTCCTTCGCATCGGCTGACCTCGACGGAAGCATTTACCAAGTGCGCCGTTTCTCGGGCTTAAAAATCGCGCAAGTTTATCTCCGATATTGTCATCTATTTTCACTTTGAAAAATCCCAATTGCGTATTCTTACAACCGAAAATCGAAGTACCTACAAGGACAATTATCAACTTTGTTCATTAACTCCCTTGCGTGAGATGCTGCAAGTGGTAGGGAGTTATAGTAAGTAATCGTCACTAGTGGGTGGCTTTCTGCTATTCATGAACCGAAATAGATTAATACGGAAAACAAACTGAACAAAAGCCTACCTGGTACTGCCTGGGACCCATTTAATGACGAAGCCGAAATTACTTTCACGTAATCTGCGGGAAACCAACCAAACTGACGCACTCGCCCCCGTTGCTGAAAAACAAATTTAAGTGTAAATGGAAACGCTAAACTTCAGTAAAACGGAATATGGCGACTAATCAGTTGAATCAAACACCGAAATCAGAGCAGCAATGGCGATCACATACCGCTAACCATATCTGGTCGAATATACCTCCCGATAGACTTCTTCAAACGGTCCGTCATGTACTAAAAAATTTCCACTCCATTTACGACCTCAAGGTTAGTAAAAACAAACAAGTTGGTTGCGATCAGGAAAAAACGGTTTCTGCGGGAACATGCGAACGGGTCCATAATGCTGCAGAAAGAATTTGCTACCGGGGAAAAAAGTTATCCTTATTTAGACATTTTTACTTTGGGGAATAAACGTGTATTCGGGTAGTAATGAACAACTCACGGAATCTAAACAGGGTAAGATATGACATGAATAGAGTAAGATACGACAAGGTCAAAGGAAGGAAGAAAACTTGCCCACGAGAAATATGGAAACGCATTTGTGTGAATTTCGTTTCTTCAGAGAAAATGGTAAGTTGTTTCTAAAAGGGACATTGAGCCTAACGAAGAAGTGGTCAAAATCCGGTGTACCTCGAAGGGAATTCGGTATAGCTAAAGACCTCATATTCTGCCACACATTTTTTCCCCGACGGTCTGCTTAATGCGCATGAAAGAGGCGAAATAGGCGGACTGACAATACTAATAGGTCTTTGCTAACTATAGACGCTTTTGGGATACGGCTCTTGATCGAGAGCAACAAATAGTCACGATGTAGTAATGAAGATGACTCGATCAATGGAACGAAAGAAAATCCGCCAAAAGCTAACCAAGATGACTGAGAAACTACTGACTAACTAGCCAAAGTGACCGCAGCCAAGGAGCGATTAGCGGTTTTCTAGACAGAGCGCCAGGGTCGGATGCCATCGAAACAATGACTTGTCTTTTTTGAAAATCTAACGACATACGAGTATCAGAAGTATCACCGCAAGCTGTTTCCACAGTTTTACCACATAGCGCTACAGGCTGGAACAGTTTTCAATGTTTCACAGAAAGTAAAAAAGAATCAGTTCATCAGCACATCTGCATCCATATTGGCAAGACCGGGGACAGCACAGAAGCGCTCAAGTAACTATAATGTGTCAATAAGTATCAGCAACAACCGGTTCATTAAAAGTCCCCACATACCAAAAAGCTACTGATTTGAAAAGTTGGCCAAGGGATGGACAGGATGAAATGTGTTCTGCCGCGCAATTCATTGAAAACTTAACTTGGTAAAACATCATATAACTCCTTGTTCCTCAATAAGAAACAAAATCAGGAAGACAAAGGAGCTCAAAAACAACACCAACCTTCCTTCGGGAGCGTCCAGACTGGGGTACAGCAACGCTTTAGCATGTTGGTATCATCAACAGTAGTGAAACATTATCATTAAAGCTCATTAGAATGGTGAATCAGCCAGCATAGGAGGAAAATACATTCATGATAGTGGACGATAAAGAAAGTTAACGGATCCAAGGAGGGCTACGAAAAGCAGACAATGAAAGGCGACCAAATAGACACCAAAACAAATGACGCAATTAATCGTGCAGAAACAAAGTGAGGTTTACGAAGAACAGGCAGTTATTCCTGCTTCACTAGAACAAACAAGATCAATAGAATTGTCATTATGAGGCGCACAATGCTAGTCAGAGTCAAGCTACCATAATACCGGAAAAGGAACGCACGAAACGGGTATCACCCATTGGCGGTTGCGATGTGGGGGGGAAGGGGCGAAAAGAGGAAAAAAGTAAAACGTTCTGAGTTAAAAGGTGGCACACATAATAAGCGTGCGCACGCATGGCGTGGAAGAAGGCAAGAGTGCAAAGTGTAAGACGAGTGGCACAGTCACCTGTGTGCGAGATATCGCGAAACTGACCTTATCAAAGTCAAAGCCCTGGACGAGTCATAAAAGAGTAGACAATGAAAGACAAGTGTACTAGATTCTTCTATGAAGGCCTGCCGTTTAGCGAAGTAATTACAAGACTCGGAGTTGCACTAAAAACAATGCACAACCAGGGAAGATGGTTCATGCTTCTCCTCTCTCCGCAACACATCAAATCAATAATGGAACAAAAGAGCTATCTAGGTGGTGCGTAAAAATGAAACCTAAGTTGCAACTTACAAATCGGGCACGTATGGTGGATCACCTCGGTTCCTCTGACATTGGTTGTAAAAGATCTGAGCATCGGATTTCCTGGCTAACTCAAATACTTCGAGCAAACAATCGGTGCGACCGCTGTTCCGCGTCCAAAATCCTAACCGTATAGTCAACATGTCGCATTACTTCCACTCACAGTTGTCATACGGTGTTTGAGAGACAACTGAGCTGACACTGTTACGTCAGTCAATTGTTAAACATGTACTGCGGAACCACATTTATTCCGTATAAGGCACGGTTATGAGATAAACACGAGCAGTGTACTCAACGTTAGTCGGATGAACATGTGAGTGGAATTAATTTCAACACCAGCACAGTAAAAGTAGGGGGAATAGTTTGTCCACGGTCTAACTTTACCATCAGAAATGAACTCAATGTAACCAGATGAACGAAGTATGCCAACGGATCCCCGAGACTTGCCATTTACAGTTAATTTATGAGCAAAAAACGGCATCACTGACCACAGAAACAAAAAGGGATGGAGAATAGAGAGAATAAACACCTGCAACTTACAAATCGGGCACGTATGGTGGATCACCTCGGTTCCTCTGACATTGGTTGTAAAAGATCTGAGCATCGGATTTCCTGGCTAACTCAAATACTTCGAGCAAACAATCGGTGCGACCGCTGTTCCGCGTCCAAAATCCTAACCGTATAGTCAACATGTCGCATTACTTCCACTCACAGTTGTCATACGGTGTTTGAGAGACAACTGAGCTGACACTGTTACGTCAGTCAATTGTTAAACATGTACTGCGGAACCACATTTATTCCGTATAAGGCACGGTTATGAGATAAACACGAGCAGTGTACTCAACGTTAGTCGGATGAACATGTGAGTGGAATTAATTTCAACACCAGCACAGTAAAAGTAGGGGGAATAGTTTGTCCACGGTCTAACTTTACCATCAGAAATGAACTCAATGTAACCAGATGAACGAAGTATGCCAACGGATCCCCGAGACTTGCCATTTACAGTTAATTTATGAGCAAAAAACGGCATCACTGACCACAGAAACAAAAAGGGATGGAGAATAGAGAGAATATCATTATCAAGCATTATCAAGACATTCGTGAAACTAGCGGTGGGCTAAACGTATGGCTGACCAGCAAGGGCCGAGCTAATGTCAGACTGCACAGACTTGAATAGACACTAGTGACAGGCAGGACTAGAACAGAGTATCCTTCCGGCAAGATATTTGCAACTTCAATACCAAGCTCTGTTTGGGACCTGCTCTTTAGTAAATGTAGACGTCGCAGGAGAGAAAATAATCGAGCCAGGCCTCGCACTCACAACATAGTGAACACACCAATTTTCACAGCAAACCAAAAGAAATGCCAAAAAATTGTATCAGACACAATCACGTCATACACCACGTACAGATTGAATAGAAAGAGTGGACTGAAAAGAGCCAGTAGATCATCCTCAAATGACAATAAGCACGTTTTGTGTACTGTGTATTCGACAAATGTATCCATCTATCATAGATGGGTTTTTTCTACTACCAACTGATTCGAGCAAACAGGGATCATGATACGCAAGCACGGAGAACCAATTAGGTGTTCTTGGTATTTCGTAAAATTGCATCAAACTACTTTCTGGTTTCATGCACAGAAAGTTTTGGCACAAAGACGGCAATGCCAACCGACACCTAGACGACGCCTTGTACATAGGATATGCGGACTCTTGAAAACGATGTCTTGTGATGCTAGTTACGTCTAATGTTGGGAAAGGAGGCATGTCCGTGACCTACTCAGCTGCAGGGGATGCCAATAATATGGTGCTTCCGAGGACACTGTAACATGAGTAACGCGATGGTTGCCAGGCATGATTACGGAGTTCCATGAAACACAGTAGAAGTGAATTCCGCAGCGTCACTTGGCCAGTGTCTGCGGGTGCACCTCAAGTTTCGGCACAATCTAAAGTAACATACAAAGCAGCAGGGTAAACTAGGAAAATGATATTCTCACTGCTGGTAACTCAGAAAACCTCACTCGTCTAATCAGTCGGCAGTGATTCAATTCCTCGTCGTTGTCGGTTGAGAATCACAGTATGGTTTTTGGAAAAACAACCCATGGACTCTTATTCAAGTTAGGATGTACAACGCTCATTATAGCCATTCCCATTTAGTAGTAACACTTCTGGTCAACACGAACACCTTAAAAGAGGCTACGTAAAAGGAGAATTTTGTGGAAGACGAAGTATGACTTTAATCGTGTAAAATTCAGGAATATCAATTCCGCCTTTTCGTCGCTAGAGGCCCCAGTGATAGACATGTACATGACGTTCACCAAGAAAAAAACTAGTCCGCCTATCAGAATTACCAGACTCATGTCAAGGGGCACTGCTAGCCTCAAGAAGGGATGCTCAAACCTGTGTTGGGAAACTTTCAAGGCCTTATAGCTAGTAGATTAAATTCCAGTCCACGGTGATATAGCACAATCTTGGGATTCGCCAAGCCAAAGGTGTGAAATGGAGGGGGACTGACCTCGCCTGCATTCTGATGACGGAGTTGAGTGTTTTGGTGACTAACTACTATAAAACTAGAAAAACGGGGACAAGTGAAAACTAACAGACCTACTCGAGACAGGCATCATGCTAGTCAGGCTACCGTTTACTGTGCTCTATCACCGAAGTCACTAACAACCGATTCCCTCCCTATCCGCCCAAAAGACAGACAGGAAGATAACAAGGTAAACCAAGAATCCGGTTTGGAATGATTATTGGAAGGAGCTGACCAAACTGGTTGATGAAAGGTGACTAAGAATGAACAGATGTGCTTGCATAATCTCATGCGCTGGGTGCACAAACACTAGGATGCTCATTGAGAGTTCCATCTGCATAAATTAACTCAAACAAAGCGACAATGAAAAAGTGGTCATGTACGAGAAAAGAGCGGAACGCAAACTCACCTGTAGTTCGCCTTCCCACCAACCCTTGGCAGAACGCTTGCGCAACTGCACAACCTGTCCTGGTTGCAGTGACAATTGGCCAACAGCCGTGGCTGTGTAGGGTGCAATCACACGGGCGAATTCTGGTTTCGTAGTAATAGTGATATGTGAGGAAGGCGAGGCTTGACCGGAACCTGGTGCGGGGCTTCCACTTTTTGACGCACTAACAGTGAGCTCGGTGTCGGATTGTGAAGACATGGTGGTGGCGATTGTGGTGTTGATAGGGGGAGTTGGGTTAGGCTGAGTAAGTTGATTATAGAAGGGTAGACGAATAGTAAGGGATTACACAAGTCGATGGGACTTTGGAGAGCAATTATGGGCGCGTATAACCGAAAAACGCGACTAATTAGTTCGGACGGAGCAGGTTACCATGAATACGAACTATGAATTACGGATGGGGAGGTGCAAACGGGATTTTCCGTTAATGTCAATCATTCAGTTAACTTTTCGGTTATAAGCCGTGTACCAAGGTACGGTGACTCCATATTCCATATTTTATTCACCAAGGATGAGAATAATGAAGGGATGACGGACACGTGTAGGAGGTTCTGGCCTAAAGTGTTTAATGACGTCAACCTGTTTTTGTCAAGCAGTGAGAGAACTACGCAGTGACGGAGGACGGTCACTGGATGCGAGATAGAATTATAAGAGAGCCACTAGGCACAACTGATGAACCCTGAGCGACCGCCAGGATGGGTTTCTTCCGGACTCCGCCAGCCAACCTGCCAGAATCATTTCTGTACTTCCTGCTAACCGGAGCAGCCACGATAAATCTCAAATAAAGGCATCTTCCTCTGCCTCAAGGTTGCCTTTTGTCTGTGTGAATGCAGATAGAGGAAACCGACTCGAAATGCGTTGGTATAAATTTAGGCCGTCAACCGAACGGCTCACACGCGACAATTTTCTGGAAGCTTTGTCAATGCAGTGCAGCCAGTCTCGTGGTTTAGGACAATCATCAGGGCTGAGGTGAAAAAGTTGACAATCGCTGAAAGATGGGCTTCGGGAGTGGATGATAGGTCCCGGTTACCCAGACCGAAGAAAGATGTTTGGCCGGGATATCCAAGCTTTGGTCTCTGACTGAAAATTCTGACACAGAGGACAATGGAAGGATTCGGGGTTTTGTTCGGGAACCCCAAACCACTGAACCAGTAGCTGAAACCGCTAGTTAGGGGTAGTTAGTCTTCTTGAAAGGCTAGGCCTGGAACCAATGATTCAATAGTCCGACCCACTTTCCCATGGCGGCTTACCTAATCCGAGTGCGCAAGGGGCAAGGTACTCACTTTTTACATTTGAAACTGCTACGATAGGTTTGGAATCGCTATTTAAGTTGTTTTGTTTTTTGGATAGTCCACCGGCCATCAACCGGCAAACATTTGGGCCATCCGAGTGTGCAGTCTTTTGGGATAGCGTCTTCTAACCCGTTCTTCCTCGGAGGAAGGCAGTGCCACTGTTTCCATAAATGAGGGAATGCTCTAACAAAGCGAAGCCAGCTATTTTTCATGGGATTAGCTTCGTACGGTTTTTCGCTTGTTTCTTGTCAGTTGGTCTAGAGCTACATCGCGCCAGTGAGTTAAGGTGGTATAAGGAAGTTGGCACATACAAGTGCAACCTGGTTCAAGCAGGTCAACTGAAACTGATTTCTGCTCCCCTCCCGTCAGCATGATCGTGCTGAATCTCCCTGAAAGTGCATGAGCATCTCTGCAAGATAAAGCTGGAACTTGACTGTCAACAACCCAAACGCTTCTACTAGCGTGCAAAATCCAAATGCACATTCTCGGACACAAGGATGCTATGCATACGAACTTCTCAGGGGACATACAAGTAAAGACATACAATTACAGGTGTTTCGCCCCGATGAAATTACATGGCCTGCATGAACGCAGCGCTGGGCTTAAAAACATGCAATCTGACGACGAAGACTAAGGGCATAAATGTGACTGTATGGGACACAATAGGTGAGGAACAATGCAAACCTACCAAGACAACTTGTTCAGTTGATTTCAAAGGCGGAGATGCGGAACTTAACGTCTTTACGGCGCTCAACTCCTGAAAATAACCAGAGTGAAAATCGCAGTCAGATAGCGAAATGCTTGAAATGGAACTGAGAGGGTATATGGCGATCAGGAAGTGAACATAATAGGGAGTAAGATGCAGAGAGAACGGTTAGGTTAGGAGAGCAAGGCCAACGTATTTGGTTGCTTGGGCCTAGAGCTTGGATTCACAGAAAAGAAGTAAGAACACGAAGTGTTGCAATATGTAAAAGAAGCCACCGTTCACTGTATCCTTACTTCTGGCGTCAGTTTCTTCGTGTAGTTGGCTGGAAATAATCCAGAGAGTTTGGTTTGTTCACATTCCCCCTCCCACCACTCGTCCCGAATGGCGTAGACATGAACGACATCGTTCACAGCCAAATTCAGGTCACCGGCTCGGACGAGGTTGGAGGATCCGATTTAGCCTTTTTGTTTTCCTCTGGTGTGGTAGTTTGTTTTGAAAGGGCGAAATCCGTGAAAGCGGAGCTGGGGACTGCCTTCTGAATTGAACTGGATTAACGGATAGAAGATAACAAGAAACGTGAGGTAGGGGAAAACGCTGATTAGCTGGAGATACAGTAAACTGGCCACTAGTGAGGGCAGGAGGCATATGTGCCCACGCCAACAAACAAGCAAAGACAGACAGAGGCGGTAGAAGCTGATTAATTTTGCTCTTTTGTCGGTGGCTAGTTAATACCTACAATTGCACGTCGGCATCATATTGCTAAGTCTCTATCTGACGGATGAGTAGAAAAACGAACAAGTTCAACAGCATTACCGCCAAAATCACGGCGAAAGACAAGATAAGACGTTTACAAGAAAGCATTCCAAGATGAACTAAGCTGTTGCCTTACTTTGTCGTTGCCTTATGCACGCCAAAAGGATCAAACGGATCGATTTTCCCAGTCACCCGTTTTCGGACATACGACTCGGGGAACAAGCCCTTCATTCCATTAGACTCTCCATAAAGCCACCCAGCAGCCACGGGGAAAGGTGGTTCACTGACGATCTATGTAAAGGGAAATGTTAAGGTCATGGAACTAAACGATGCTAGGGAGTGAGATGTCAAAAAATCCGTCTGTTTTCTGTGGTTGTGCATCTAGCTAGCTAGCAATTTATATGACGATGGGACAGGATCTATTGTGGAACTTACTAAGGAGACTGGAGGTCAAAGGTCTTACGTGCCAAAAGAACGGGGTTACTGTTAATGTTATTGGGGTAGGGAGCCGACCATAGCCCAGCACAAGCTAAGAGTTCACACGAGTACGAAGGTTAGAATTACGTGATCGTTTCAGTTATGGATGGCGGCCGGACACTCGCAAATAGTGACCGATTGATAGGCCCCGGTAGATGGCGGGAAAGGCTCAGTCTTTACCAGCCCGACCCTCATCAAAACGAAATCCGAGACCACACCAGGGAGGAGTTACAAAACATGAGGGTGCTTGAATGCAGACAATTCGGGATCTTCAAAGTGCCCTACTAATCATGGCCTCACACCATGCACGTCTCCATTCCTTTCAGAGAAAAGAAGTGAGGCGACCAGCAAAACAAGAGTCAATATCTAATTTCAAGGTCCCTGTGAGGCATCGAAGCCGATTCGTCTACAAAGGAGTCCATGGCACTACCTGTTGGATACTTAGCACGTCCAAAAGAATGGGTAGTAAGTCAGCACTAGGAGACTAGCACAATAACACCTGAGATTTGCTCGCGACTTTACTTAGCCTTATTAAAAACAGGTGAGCTGAAACCAAACTGCGCGACAAAAAAACTTACTTGGACGAGTGCACCGGTACTCAATGAGAGTTCGTCCGGATGTCGAGCAGTGAAGTCGAACATGACTTCATACTGCTCAGTTTGATCACCGGTTTCTAAAGAGCCCAATCCGTCGAAACTGGAAAAAAGATATTGATTGGACAGAATTTTTGTTGGCCCTTTTCACTTGCATTTCCAAACTGACTCTTACCAGACTCAAAGAGAGACAAAGTCTTATCAGTATTGACGGCAACACAACACTAATATGTATTTGCACATACTAAAAATCATGAGAAAAGAAGGGAAGGTTGGCGGTTGGCCACAGTTATTACACGTCTCTAGCACCCCAACCGGTTATGTTTAATAAGCCGCTCCAAATATTCGGATAATTTAAAACGTATCTGTTTAAACACCATTCCGTTCCCTATTCGCAGAAGCCATCTAATTCACGCTAGTGCAGTACATGTTCACTGCTGTGAAAACAATTGCTTAGCTGTTTACAGATGACGGGAAGGAACTGGTAGGCTGTATGGGTAGTCGGAGATACCGTTTTGGAGTTATGCCACTTGGAAGTGGTGTTATTGTGAGTGGCTGGATGAGTAATGAGAATGGAGATCTAATTTTCCTTAAAAGGAACTACAGAATGATTCTCGCGCAGTAGTTTCAGTCCTCGTGAGCGACAGGATACCGAAGCCAGAACTAATAACAACAGCATCATATATCGCCAACGCACCGGTCAGTAAACCTAACGGTCGATTTTGACGACAAAGTTAAGCAGGGAAAAAGCGACAACTTGAGGGGGCAGGAAAAGTTATGTCTAGCCAAAAGCATCCGAGAACTCCAAAAGTGGTTTGTTTTGAACCGATATCCGAACATATGAATTAGCGAATCAATAGGTACCCAATCACGGTTAAATTCGGAAAAACAACCGCAACGGCAGATCAAGGCCGACAGTCATTGGTATTGGTAAACAAATAGTTATCTGCGTATGACTATGAAAGAAACGGAACAACGTGAGAGTAAGCCAAACGCTATATTCTGGGATAGGAATTCGAGGCCCGAGGAAGTCATCACAATCGACAGCAATACATGAGTAATAAATGCTGGTGCTCAACTGGTATAAGGTTGAAAACATCATAAACGAGAGCTTCAGCTTGGTTTCAGATGAGTCTCCCACAAAACCACATTTGCTCCATATTCTCTCTTAGTGGATGTTTATTGGATTACTGTCTACTCATTCGTGGGCGATTGGTGGTATTCGAATTCCCATCCTTAAGAATGCTTCTAGAGGTGTGCACTGGTGATGATTCCAAAAGGGAAAGAAACAACTATGCTTCCATCGCAGGGTGAAGTAGAGACAAAAGGCTTCACTCGAGAACTGAAGTAAGTAGATCCGACACGGTACAATAAAAATTGAGCGACGACGCGCTAAAAACACTGTCCTAAAATGATACAAATGGCAGATAAGCTGAGAGGCATGTGTAGTCCAGATAATATGTTATGGTTTCTTTTTTTTCACGGAAAGCACGGGATCATCAAACGATTCGCATAAACGGTAGTAGGTTTATAGGTGTTCATTAGCATGGCCATCATCATTACTTACAACACCGATGCTTCACTGGCTTACGACGTTGTTGAGATAGGCCTACTGATAATCAGTCAACGACATCTTAGACGCCAATACCTCCAAAACCCACTCGGATACGCTAAATGAGAACTGAAGCACATCGCTAAAGTACAAGACATGCGCAACACAGGGCCGAGCCATAGTATCTCGCAGTGTTGGGTACATTCCTTAAATTTCGAAGGTGCTACCTCACCAGAGATCCAGTCACGGTTCGATTACTTCGAACGATTCTATGGTTCTAAGGCATCCGTAGTCGAATAGTATATGTACTCGACCCTCAAAGATCAACTCTTGCAGCCACATGACAACACAGTCTCATTGTAGTCCGATACACGAACTCTACAAGGCCCAACGATATGCAACTTAATGGGCGAGATGGCCCAAGTGGTTAGAGCGCGAATTTACTGACCGGAAGGTCCGTGGTTCGAATCCGACCTCCGCCACTCGACTTCCCATGTCTAGGCTTGGGCAACCTGGCAGTATCCCAGCCCTCGTGCTTCCTTTGGGTGGCATGGCAGCTAGGCACCGGAAGGGTGCTACAGCTCACCGCTTTCTAATGCCCCAAATGATGCTCACTGGCAATGCAACCGTGATCCTTTAGGTTCGCCAGTCATGCTGTGGTCAAAACTAATACAAGACTCGAAATAAGTAGTGCTTCAAAAACTCCACTGTCCCTCCTCAAAAAGTCGGGAGCATGTTCAAAGGGTGTCCTTGGCTTCATACTGTGTTGGGTCGAAACACATGCAAAAGGATTGGACGAGCCTTATTCAAAATTCAAACGACGTTGTGTGCATATTCTGGACCGATAGAGACAGTTCTGAAAACCGGGGTTTCGGAGGTACTCTGGAGTGCGTCTCAATATCTTATCAATTATTGAAAAAGGTCAACCATCAGATCGCTTGTTGAGAAAACTCCGCGTGGGTTCTTGTGCCCACACGTCTGTAAGGACAAACACTGTACGATAAACACGAAATACCTTATTAAACATCATCATCAGAGAAAGCAACAACAGTCTTGATACTGATGCTTCACTGCCACACAACCACAAAGTTTGTCTAACTATATTTCTAGTCTTAGAATGAAAAGAGAAAAAAGCGCGTGAGAAAAGGACTTGGTGCGGGACTGTGTCAAGCATTCTGAGGAGCCCAAACCTCCAAGCGTTCAATCAGACAATCATGGTCTCCTAAACTCAGCTTCGTACTCAATCAGCTTTAAGGTGATGAGTGGAAGTACGAGTTAAACATGAAGACAAAGCTAGTCTGGGACTAACCCATAAACTTACAGTTTTTCTACATTCCCTGGATTCTTCAAAGTGAGATACGAGCGGAATTGACCTTCCAGCTTTTGTCGCAGCCTGGCCACTTCCACATCGAGCTGACAAGATCTTTTTTCCAGTTCGGTTACCGTATTACGACGACTAGCCAGCTGTTCACCCTGGCGTGTCATTCCCTCGTCTAGTTCAGCCAGTTGGCTTTCGAGTCGTTGGATGGAAGCTCGACGTAGCTGGAACGAAGGAAGTCAAAACCGCGAAAGCAGCAGTTGATGGGTCATCGGATAATGGGATAAGGATAAAAAAACTAAACGTATCGCTCACGATCTACCGGTGGAGGAAGGACTCACATCACTACTGGCCCGAAGGGTCTTGCACTGCTCTGCCGTGGGATTAGTGTCCACCCCAGTGGAGACGCGGAGACTCAGCTGTTCTCGCTCCCGCTGCCAACGTGACAACTCAGCTTTGGCTGCTTCAACCTGTTCGGTCAACTCGCGTATATCACGTTCGTAAGTGTCACGTTTGCCGCGCATATCATTTATCGCAGATTTGTGAGCATCCACTTCAGCACTGGCCACAAAAAGACGGGTTTCTAATTCGCGCTTGCGCTGTTCTTGTGAAGAGGCGGATTCAATAAGACTGGCACGGTGCGCAATAGCCTAAAACCAGGAAAAGATCGGAAAACAGCCCGATGAACAGTGCAACCAGTTTGATGAAACTGTCACGGTTGGCCAGAAACTAGAACTGAGAGTAGAACTAGAGGCTTACTGATATCGAAGGACTGTCTTGTTCATCCATGGCTATCATGATTCGGTTGACTGTTGGCAGTAGAAGAAGCGAAACCAGTGACGTGGCGCATTGACTTCAACTTACCGGTTCGATACCGACCCACGGTCAAGCCGACCAGACTTACATGTTTAACGCTGGGGCAGTGGCAGTGGTAGACATTAGCTGAATACCACGGTGGTAAATAAGAGCCTTGTTTTGTGTTCATTGTGAATGAAATGACCGAGTGCTCTCCATGAAACAACAGCGCATTTTTATTAGGTCTTCAAAACCAGCTCAGTGCAACAGTGTGTGAAGCGAACACCGGATCTAACGTCACCAATGATAGACAGACATGCTTACATTACCAGATCGGTGGAACCGAATGCCATCGTTTGACACTATCTGTTCTTGGGACGCCAATAAGATGCACTGACTACAGCAGTGCACGCACACATATTGCAGTCGACTGGAGCGTAGGGCCAGCAGGTAAACAAATCGCAACATTAGGGTGTTTGTGAAGTTGGGCTGTAATTTATTGTTGCTAGTCGCGAGGACTGGAGGTCATACAGGAGACAGACACCAGGTTCTAGTTTTCATGCGTTGACAAGATTAGTTTGATTGAGTGCCTGAGTTTTTTTACCACGTGGATGGGCACTATCATCATCATTGATAGCAACACCAAAGAACATTTGTGCTTCACCGCCGTACAACCATATTAATTTATCAGAGGAAACATATCTACTCCAGTCTATCATTTAAAAGAGGCTTAACAGCTACTTTGATTACCAGACACGACTAATGTTACCTGTAAAGCTACAGGTCTATGCCTAAATTTCAGTTCCATCCCAACCATCAAGTTCCAACTGAAGGCACTGAAGGAAGTCTGTTGCCAGCTTCTGCGTGTACTCATCCGTGTGCTTGTGTCGAGTATCGTACATTGGTCGCATAATGAGGCGTTCGTCAGACAGAATTCGGGAGCGCCACCCCACTTAAATGAGATGTGCGACAGGGCATATGGACCCAGGTACACCCCGTTACACCTCACCGAGACTGATCACCCCATAGAGAATTGCTTGTGGTGCCACCTTCCGGGCACCTTCAAATCGACCAAGATCAATTAGAGTCAGATCGCTATCGGTTGCAAATGGGAAGTAATCGAGCAGTCCACAGGTCTGTGTTCAGAAATTGTTGTACCACGGCCGGTCAAAGTAAACTCTCACAATCGACAGTGGCATAATATTTTCTCCACTGGCTTTACCCACATAATTCTGTGATTACTATAAAACACATGTGACCGCTGTACATTTCCGCATAAATTCGTGGCGTCCTGGTCTGATGACAGTGATAGAAACCGAAGTTTGTTCGCCAATTTGTTTGATCTCATGAGTCCCACAGGGTATCTTCAACCACCATGTCAACTAACTTGGATTAAATGGCCTTTAAGGACAAGGATGACAAATGAGACCGAAGAAGGACCTATGGCTAACATGCCACAAACATCCGAGTTACCTACACCCCTTACAATGTTAGGCAATACAAAGTGACAGCATAACGCCATGGACATCGGTTAACCGCCAAACATTTCAATGTATCTGGTCAAGCATGAAATGATCACGTGGGCCCCATAGTAAAATGAGAGCAGAATGAACAACACTTTTCACAGCATCACTCCCGTTGGTGTGTCATATTCTGTTCATCCTTATGTTTCCACCACTTCGAAAAATAACCCTCGGTGGCCCGGTATGCGAGGCACATGGCTCGGCAACCTCAGTTTGCAGAGCTGGATGTTTTCTTTGAGTTCACTGCATTCTGCTTCACCAAAGACTTCATTTCTTGATCGCCTAATTGTGAATCGGCTGATTCTAAGAGGTTCTTGCTACAGTTCTGAGACACCAGTTGTTGGGGCCATGAAGATGTCTCAAATGCTGATACCACAGTGGTCAAGTTTCGCGACTGCACAACAATACAGGTCGCACTGCATTCTGATGCACGCGTCTTCTAACACCCAGTGATATGCATTTTGATGATAGACCAACCCGCAAACTCAATTCTGTCCTTTAAGGTTTGTGTGTCTGTTAAAGAACCGTCAGAGCTCAAAGCAACTTCCCTTACCTCTTCTTGAATTCTCATGGGCACGTTCAAAGATTGTACCTCCCGTGGTATGACTTCGTATGTTGCCAAAAGATCAGATGAGCCCGTTACGCATCACTGGTAACGCTTGTGCTCTTTATACTTTTCCAAAGGTGAGAACGTCTTCTGTACCGCCCAGTCGACGAAGCTCAACTCGGAGAGATCTAAACAGAGGGGGTTTTGGACACCCAGCGGAGTTCACTTCAATGACGGAAATAAACGAAGACGTAAAGAGTTGGCATTCTTGCTGGACAGTACTGCTTGCAAGCAGGCTCTCAGAAAAATGTCCCTATTGACTGGTTTGCACACAACCTTAGTTTCCCGCTTCCTCAATCTCTTCAGCTTTTTTGGACCTACGACGCACCTCGATGCGGATACATGCTCATTTTCACCTGCGGTCTGACGTTTTGGCGACTTGTATTGTACTTTCGATCAGCGATACTAGTGTTTGAGAAAGTGGATTGTCCGAAAAAGGGTTCAGTACGTGTTTTGGTACATCCAATTCACATTCGGGTCCAGAAGTCTTGCAATCACCAGCTGATATGTACGTATCTTACGCAACCAGAAAAGCGCAGAGAGCGGCAACAGCCAAGCGTGTCATTGTAATGCATACAGACGATCTAGAATGAGCAGTAAACGTTAACTGACCTACACCACCCGTCGCTGATGGCGATCTGATCTATCTGCGTTGGAGATTTGCTCCCAAGTAGAGGAGGCCAGGGGGCTTCGGACGTAATGCATTGAAATAGTGTGTAATCCGCACATAACTGCGGCAGGCATTCACTGCATTTTTTGCAATTTGATTCCAGTTCAAAAAGAACACCTGAAGGAGCTCAGCAGCGATAAGCCTACCTACCTGTTTGTTCATATCCCAGACAGCAACAGGAATATCGTAATAAAGCGTCGTATTACAGTGCCAATTTGTTGAGAGATAACCAGGGGCAACGAAGACGTTTGTCAGAGCATTCACGGGACACCCTCATAGACGTTGTCAAACAAAGCGATTATCAGCTATGAAGTCTGTCAAGCGCCCGGTGGCTTAAAACAATACCCACTCAGAAGCTAAGGGAAACCGGTGGAGATGTCAGTTCAGCGACAATATCTATGCCTTGAATTCTCGTGTCTGAGACAGCACACACCAACAGAAAGACTCTAGTGTACAAGGAAAAGTAGCCTACTTTACAGGTTCTTTGAAGATACGACAATTGAAGACTTCCAGATGAAATGAGAGTCGGGGTTTGAAGAACGATTTCGAAGTGTTTACGGCCACATTGGCCGATTTAGATGTAGATATTGAAGCTAACGATAGTGGACCAGCCCTTAGGAGGTGCCGCTGGAAAAGTAGTTAGGAGAGAAAGACGAAAATGCAAAACATAAAGAAGGAACGCGTCAGCAGTAGTCCGCCTTAGCTTTCAGGCTCCGTTGTGTGTACCAAGTAAGGTGACATGGCTTGTGGCACTACGCAACGACCGACGTACCATGGATGAATGTACGTGGGTTCTGATATTGCCAGGATGTCCTAGTCTGGATTTGATAACAAGCAGGGTCCTCAGCTAAAACCTTAGGCTAAAAAGCCTGGCGACTGGCCAGCAGGGGTTAATGGCACAGTAGTTAACACCTTTAGAGTGCAAATAGCTACAGGTGGGTGATTTGTCAATCATTCAAGTGCAAAATCGCCGAGCGTTTGGTACGTGCGGTGTAAGGCTCCGCGTTTGCTGCTAGGTTGATTCTGAATATGATTTATGAGAGTACCAGTCAACCAAGGCGGCGCCACAGCGGTGACTGAACTGGAGGAATACACTGACTTAAGAAACTCTGGCAATTAGACGAAAGCTCCGCCTTGTAAGTGAGGTCATACTATGCTGGAAAGCTAGAAAAACTGTTCAGCCGTTTCGCACCTGTTGGGACAGCCGCTGGGAATCGTTAGCAGTGCGAATCTCACTAAACTCCAAGAAGTTTCGAACCCGTAACATCCGGGCAGTAGATGGAATGCTTAAACTTTCAGCCACGAGCGGTTTGTCAACCGTGTCATTAGCTAACACTTAGGATATAGTGGCGCTCATCCTGGAGTCACGGAAGTTACATTACGTGATCACATACTGACCGGTTCGTCGGTTTTTCAGTATAGACTGACTTCACTTACAGGAAGGAATATCCGGTGAAAATCACCAAATCCCTCACGCTACCATCAAGATGGCTCAAGTGGTTAGAGCGGGAATATACTGACCGGAAAGTCCGTGGTTCGAACCCGAACTCTACCACTCGATTTCCCCTGCCTAGGCTTGGGCCAGCCCTCGTGCCTCCTTGGTGTAGCATGGCAGCTAGGTGCTAGGCACAGGGTGCTACAGCTGAAATATTATTAATATTATTATTACCATCAATTCATAAGTGGCTTATGGAAATAATTTCACATGAGTGAAACTTTCATCTGAAAAGTTCCCCTCCAGAAGCCAGTCTACACGTCACTACATGTGGTTTCCTTGAGCAAAAGAGGAACGGCGGCATATCTTGTCTAAAAGCGATCAGCTGACCAGCCGCTCGTGGCCAAACATAAGGGCTCAGTCTATCTAACTGAGATATCGTGTGTTCGTAAGATGTGCACTGCTGGGGATAAAACAGCTGTACGGTACTTTTTGGCTTTTCGGAACAGATTAAATTTACTTACATGACGAGATTTTCATTGGAAATTTCCAAATCTCTCCACACTACCATCAGTAAGATGAGACCTTAACTGATGTGGACTAAGTTAAAAGGAAAATTATGCCTAATCATGTAGCACTCAAACGAAAAAGTCCTCGTGCTTCCTTCGGGTAGCATGACAGCTCTATATAAAACGAACGATTACTATCTATTTATTAAGCAAAAAAATGAGGAGACTATACACTCGTTTGCAAATCACACTGGTGTCCACGGAACCCCCAATTCAATTTCTCTTTGATAATGTTCCTCGACTATTCTTTTTCACGAAGGCCGCCTGATGTTTCTGTTGGCACGGAATTCCAATTATCGAAGTAAAAGCTGAGAAAGCGGTGGTGGATTGCCGAAGTCTTCTGAAGCTTTATAAGCAGTATGAATTGTGAAAAAATATACTTCTGTATCGCGAATGCAGTGCCATCTGATACATGAAGCGGTCTTTGTGTAGTACATTCAGTTAAACGAGGGACTCAGTTGCGTCTCCCGTTAACACTAATCTAATTTGGAAATAAAAGTATTTCGCCCAAGTAGAACATAAGGTTGACAGAAACCCGGGGCCTACATCTTTCTGATGAGCGCCAATGGGGGTACTAGGAGTGGGCAATCTTATAAGTAGTGTTTTAGGGCAGGAAAAATGCTGAGGTTTGTTTACTGCCCGACTTTCAAGCTGCAGTGTATTTAACCTACATATGCGTTTGATAGCGGTGTCTCTTGAAGGTTCCGAAGACGGATTTCACCACAGTCAAGATAAAGTAGGAAGACATGTGGTAGGGGGATTTTGTGCGGTCTCTGCACCAGCTCGAAGAACAAGAGAAGCACAAGACAGCAGGCATACCTGCTCCAACAGTGCGCTGGCCTGACATTTTTCTTTCTGAAGGGCTTCTACTCGCTGTTTCTCTGCCTCCAATTGTCTCTGGGCTTCAGCAGCACGCCATGCCTTGGTTCGAGCCTCGACCGCCTGGCGACGACGAACTTCACGCTGTGCTTCTAATTCCCGCAACCGTTCGGCTTGTCTCTCCGTTTCCAACGCTTTTTCGCGCTCCTTCTCCAGTCTGGTTTTATGAAAAACAGGAGGTAGAAGTCAAAGACGCCAAACCATTCATAGCAAAACCAAGTATTTCGATGAATGGTGAGAAGGGAAGCTTGTAAATATCGTAATTAGAACAGCTTCTCTACAGATGCCTGCGTAAAGTGCTGCTGATTTCTGACGCCTTCGTTTTGTGTCTAGTAGACAACAGTGATAACCTAATTAAAACGGAACATGGATTCAGTGAAGGAGTGGGAGCAAAAGCATAGAATGGAAAAGTTGCTCAACCAGAGAACGTTGCATGCAAAACTAAATGCCACCGTGAACGCAGAAACTGGCAGATTTTACATAGACATTGCGTTGCGTACTGAGAAAGGTTTCTGTACACCTCAGTAAAGGAATTTGTGACTGTGTACATTACCAGCTGTAAAAGGGTAAATGAGTATAGGAAACGGGATAACATGCGCAGCAACAGAACTATGGGATGAGATTAACTGTATCAAAGTAGCCATAATGGAGACTAAGTGGGACGGTTATTACTTATTATTAACTAGCCATGCCATGACCGTGACAGTAACTAGATGTTCCATCAACCGAATTGCAAATCTGCGTAAACTGAAAACGGGACGACTACATAGATTCAGGATAATTTGAGATATCGGTTACTTGAATCAAGGCCCTTCGGGTAAAAACACTGCCGGCAACACGGTGTGCTTAGTTCGAAAATCCTCGAGAAGTGGAAGGGTACCGGATAATAAACACGTGTCAGCAGAGCGCTTGTCTCATTTACGGTGAGCTACTAAGCCAATGGATTATTGGCTGAAAAAAACGTTCAGCCGTCGCACTCTTTTGCTTTTAACTGCCAGGCCACTCAAAGGAAACACGAAGGTGAGGATACTACCAATTTGCCGAAACCTTTGCCGTAAGTCGAAATGCAGAGGTCGGGTTCGAACCATGGACCTTCTGGCCAGCAAACTAGCGCTTTAACCACTGAGCCAATAGTTGGAAAATGGAAAGAACATTAGAAACCAGTATTTGACTTACCGCAGCTTTTCCAATCGTTCCTGCTCTTGGCGTTCTTTCTCCAGCCGGGCTTCTTCCTCCTGACGTAGTTGCTCCGCCAATTCTTGCTTCCGTCGATCTAGCTCAACTTGTCCTTGAAGGAAATTCTCCCTTCGTTTGTCCTCAAAGCTCAGTGCTGAACGGAAGGGAATAAAACACAAAAGGACCAGGGTTGAAGCTAACACATAAGCCCAAAAATATAATCCACCTAATGATGGAGCAGGCAGATTTTCAACATCATTAGTAATATCAGTGCCCAGGTCCTCAACATCAACATCAGGTCCTCAACGGAGACATATTAAAAAAGCATGGTAGTTTTTACGGTTGACACGAGCACCACCTAGATCCATGCAAGCATGACTATAAAGCACACCACTATACACGCGCTGACTCTCTGCGTCCGTCTACAACAGCTGCTATTCTAATGGCAAAAACGTGAACCAATCACAAGAGACGGAAACCACTGCCGGAACACAAAAAAAGGTTGAAAACCTCGTGTTCTTTGAGGATCGAATGTTCATGGAATCAGTATGGTTCCTCACAGCGTCCGGAATAGACTTTAGTGTTCTCAATCTGAATCCATGGTAGCGTTTACCACGATGACTACGAATACAAAACGGATTAGGAGACTAGAATTGAGTTTGTATCTCAGCCCTCGTGTTTCTTCTGGGTGGCGTGTCAACTAGACACTGAAAGAATGCTACAGCTGGAATAGTATTACTTTTTGTTCTTAGGAGATAATGCTCAGCTGACCAGATACTGAGAATTGCCATAAATTGAGCTTATAATATTGTTTCTTCTCCAGCAACCACCCTCGTGCGTCCTATTTCATATTTCATCCAAAATGGATTCAGTGTCCCCACAACCTCTTCTATTACAGATCTCTTCTGATTCAATTAATCTCCACTTGAGTTTCCTTAGAGCGAAAGTCGGGACTATTCATCTTCAAAACTATACTGAACCTAAGCATGATGTTTGACCTTGGCCAGCAACTGTCTTGCGCGACACGAGTGCCCCCAAAACATTAAATTGTAGGTTTTCAGTAGTATGGATAGCAATTCTCACAGCATGGTTCCCTTTAGAACTGACTACGGTGCATGGTAACTGTAGAAAGTTCCGATACCCAAGGTGTCAGAAACAGCATATCCGTAGTTGGAGATGAGGAGATAAGGATATGACAATTGACGAGGTGGAAGATGAGCTGTGCGGTTCCATAGAGCATGACAGCTGATATACCATAATCCCCACCACGAAATTTTTAAAACATTACTGAAGAGGGAGTAGTGCTTAGCCTCACCATTAAAGGCAACACCTATCTTCCAATGACACACCATCAAACTAATACATTTGCCGAAATTCATGTAGTATAAAGGGGGAACGATGAAAGAGGAAACAAGCACTGGTCCACCACAATTATCCTGTCTCCATCTTGATCAGTCTGGATGGTAGGATTTCGAAAGCACCTCTCAAACATAATATGTTAACGGGTAGAAATATGGGCCTGAAATACAGGCTTTAGTGACTGACATAACAACAGTGAACGACTGTTTTTCGTAACTGTCCGATTATTCTTAGCCTCTGTGTTTTATTGATCACTGTGGAGGACGAAAGGTATCCTAGTTAAAGCTTCGCTCGTTTATGGATGGAGAGTGACGCAAGCAGCCCCACAGGCAACTGGTCATAGTCGTTATGGAGAGCATGACATCAGTGTTCAACAATCATACTTCGCTTCCCTTCAACCATGATTCATTTGAAAGCCATTCGGAGCAGGAGTTAAGCAAGCAACGGCGCCTGTCCCATTCTCATTCTGGACCAAAATAACGGATCCTACGGGCTGGCGCATGACCTCGTCGTCAAGACTGTGAAACATACCCGATCCTCATACACCCACCTAGTGAGCCTCATCAAAGCGTCAGATGACTAGATTTCAAGACCACAGCTTCGTAATTACCGAGTCTTTCAAGATAAACGACTATCCAGAATAGACAACTTGATTACAATCCAGTGATCAGATTGCCTAAACTACTAACCACCTAGTTATACAAACAATCACTCTTTAAGTAAGTTAGACATGAGAACCAACGAGATAAGGTAGATTTTCGTTGCGATGTCATAAGTGTTATACTGAATCGTCGAAATGAACCATGTGTGCGAAACCACCATCGACAAAGTGGGTTTAGAAAAATGAAATATTTTAACCATGAGTTGCTTTCGACTAGGGTCCTTGTGCTTCTAGTTGAAAGCAACTCACGGTTAAAATATTTGATTTTGAAATCGACTTTGTCGATATTGGTTTTAAACTAGGGTCCTTGGGCTTCGGAGCGAGACGGCTCAAATGGTTAGAGCGCGAATTGACTGACCGGAAGGTGTGGTTCGGACCCCACCTCTACCTCTCGACTTCCTCTGTCTAGGCTTGGACAACCTGACAGTATCGCAGCCCTCGTGCTTCCGTTGGGTGGCATGGCAGCTAGGCACTGAAAGGGTTCTGCAGCTGAACGATTGCTTTTTTTAAATCTTATCCTTGTGCTTCCTTCGGGTTGCATAGCAGCGTACGGATAATGGGCTTCAGATATGTGCGGATCATCGTCTGTTCCTAGCTAGCACGAACTTCCAACACAAGCGCTCAAATCAAGTTACTTGGAGGTCACCAACCGCAAGACAGTCGTGGATGCAAGTAGACTATTTGACTATTCGTTACCGATGGATAGCGTCGATTGAAGAGTATCATTCTGGCGTATGCAGTTTGACTATGATCATACAATTGTGCGGACCCGGCAATCCGCTTTTTGTCAGCATTACGCGTGCAAAAGCAGAGCTGCTCCATTCATCAACTTTGACTGTTTGTCCAAGCCACCTGATTCAACTGAATGAACAGTGGATATCATTGAGACTAGCAGATCATACTGCTGTCGGAAAGGCTATACCAGCAAAGAGTGACTGTGATGGCGCTCGAACATCTCTCAGACACCGGACAATCAGGAGCTTATGACAGAGAACGCTGGTGGATTTCGAAGAGCCGGGAGATGGAGAAAGTCATCGCCGCAAGCAACAACCGCACTCTAATTCAGCTGATTCGATAAACCGGTCAAAGGAAGGCAGATGTCAGTGAAGCAATATGCGAAAAAGACATAAAAAAAACAGCAATTCACTCCCTCAATCTTCGCTTTGAGCGATGGGGGGAACATTTCAAAGGGAAGTTCAGTTAGTCCGCTTCAACATAACCACTGAAAGAAGCCAGCAGGCCTGAATGGAACGCCAACAACACCGCACCATTGACAGTAGAAATTCAGTGTGAGATATCGATCCTCAAGCAGGACAAGGCGCCTGGCGCAGATGGTCTGTACCCCGAACTCTTCGAAGAAGGTGGCGAGGTCCTGGTGAACAGCCTAACATCCATACTGCAGATTTGGAACGAAAACAGAATAGCAGCTGAATGGAACTCCTTGACCGTCATCCCAGTCTTCGAAAATGGCGCAAAAAGGTCATGAGAAAACCATCGTGGTATCGGCTTGGTGTCAGTTGCATCTAATTTGCTCTCTGGCATTATTTTGCGCAGGTTGACCGATTATCGGGAGAGACAGATTCGTGAAAATCAAGCTGGGTTTCGCCCTGGCCGAGGGTGCACCAACCATATCCTTATCTTGAGACAGATTCTTGAACAGCGCCACTCTAGATCTGACTCTGTCGATCGTGAGAAACTTTGGTGGTGTCTTTTGACCAACGGTGTCCCTTCTAAATGTATAACCCTTATGAGGGCATTGCAGGCGAACTCCTGTGGTCGCATACGAGCACACGACAAACTTTCGCCTGAGTTAACCATGCCAAGTGGTGTAAGACAATGCTGCCCTATCGCATATTTCCTCTTCAAATCTGTTATTGGTGTGCTGCTTGAGATTCCTCTGTCTGTCCCTGAAACCTCGGGAGACAAGACGTTCCCTTAGAGACATTGAGTAAGCGCACGATATTGCTCCCCTTGGTTCCGATCCTTCAAAAATGCAAACGATTTTAAATAATTCTGCCACACTGTTTGGCATGTGCTTCACACCTGTAGATTGTAAATTGCTGCTACAAGACTGAGTGGGACCAAACCCAAGCCTCATGCTTGCAGACGAGCAAGTCGACGTGGTGGATAAATTTGTTTACTTGGACAGCTGTATGAGTTCCGGTGAACTGGTTGGTTACTTCTCGCATCGGGTAGGCCAGGGCAGCTTTTGCTAACCTCCGACACCTACGTCGCCGACGTGATGGGAGCTTCTTTGTCAAGGGCAGAGTTTACACCGCGGTGGTGTATTCCATACTGCTTTATGGATGGGAAACGTCCCTTCTACGTGCAGAGGACATACGAAAGACGTCAGTGTTTGACCATCAGTGTCTCCGAAGCATAGATCAGGTCTGGTGGGAACATCGGATTAATAATGCAGAGGTACGCTAGGTGGTTCGGGAAAAGAGGAACTCTCCCGCTACACATGAATTACTCACTCTTTATAACTTGAGCGGGTTAGGACATGCACTTCGCATGCCGTCTGCCTAGCAGACTTGTCGCTGAACTCTGTGCTAAATGGAAACGACCAAAATGTAGACAGCGTATGATCTGTCGGTGAAGTACAAAAACATTAAACAGTAAACAGTCGGGCCGACAACTGCCGCCTTGTTGGATGGAGATCCCAGAAATCAACTCACTAGTGGTCAATGGCACCGCCAGAAATGGCCCAATCGCCCAGTCAATGGTGCTCATGCATCAAAGCTATCGCCTTAAATGGGTAGCTTCCCGGTTCCAGAAGTAATCAAATATGCCATCGCCTCCAAGGCTAGGCTACGTCCTACACTCTCCCACTTTCCCGTGATCGAAACTGTAAAGGCTGAAACCAATCTGACTATGGCACACGGTTTATAGATCGACTGACTGAACGACGCCGAAAGTGTTACAGCCAAAAGCTATTATTACTATTGTTATTATTATTACTTAGGGTCCACATATGTCACGTCCCAAATCCCGTGAATATGCGCATCTGCTTTGAAGTGACTGAAATGTAGTGGACTCGTCTGGATAGTTGTGATGTTACTCAGATCCGGGCAATACAAAGTGATTCTTGGTACCAGAAGTGATGTTATGAAAGGCATATGAAAACTGGGTCCGTCAAACTCACCGGGAGCTTTGCCTTCATCCTCGCTTGCGGGCTGAGTTGGCTGCAAACTGGACGGTGTTTGACGCCCTGCTCGAAGCTGGAGAGAAATCGAACCAGAACATTGAGAAACTGAGTGTGCGTTGGCAAGAGGGGCATAAAAACGGCATAAAACTCTTTGGAACAATATAACCATGATTGCCTAACCCAGTGGGATTCGCAGTTGTGGTGCGCCAAACGGAAAGAGAAGTAGGGAGTCTTGAAGTCATGAATCAACATCAAACAGTTTTCGGAAACATGGCTAATAGACCCTGGTTTGATGCTCCAGTTTTCAAACCAGGGAGATAAACAGTGGCGTTCTATGTCACTGAGGTGGAGAATCACAAATGAAATGCGGCATTAAGCATGAAAAGGAATGACGAAAGGAGATAGGTATTGCGCACTGTGTGATAGCTAATGATCTGGTAGAGCAAATACTATCACGTTGGTCGTGGCAACTCTAGTACAGAGGCCCTTAGCCAAGGAGGGTTTCTGTATTGGGGAAAGTACGCTCCATAGCGCAACAAGCGCAAATTACGAGTTAGAAAAATAGGTATAATATTTTCAGTATACAATCCACATAAACAAGCTCTACAAGATCGTCATTCACGTGTTTGCACAAGAGTGAGCATCGCGTTCACATCAGGTGCAATCAGTTGTGCTACACATTCTGCTTTTCCGTCATTAAATGCAACCACTCACATAAGTATGCAGCACTAGTTGGAAAAACTGATGCGACTCGGTTTAGTTACCAGTCCATAGACCGCCTACCAAAGTACGCTGACTCCAGCTGCCATGGTTAGGTGCACTGGGAACAGGTGTACGTTACCGAATTGGGACTGTTATATTTATCTGGCGAAGCGAGGACTGGGACAACAATGCTGTAGCGATACATTTGACGCATCGGAAATCGGCGAAAGCTGCCCTAAGCTTCTCGATCCCATATGAAATTCTGTCTTTAACCGAAGTTTATGTGTAATTGGTGAGACGAATTTCTCAAACACATCAACAAGCCCCTCAACAGGTATGCTCAAACTTGCAGCAGCACATGTGGTGAGCGTGCGAAACCGTTAGGCAGTATAAGTTGGGTTAGCTACACTAGGTTGTATTTCCGAAGACTGTGATTTCGTTGTATGGAAATGGTTAACGGAACAAGAGAACTGTGTCAGAAAAAGGTTTACAAGAAATGGTCTTAAATTGTATAGTCTTAAACTGTACAACGAGTCCCACAAGATGAATGTATTACTGGTCAAATACACCATGAAAGTTCTACGACCAATTCTATGCCTGTAAAATTCTATTCTTTGAAGGCCGATACATCACACAGAGACCCAAACAGCGGGAACAAACCTGGGATGGATAAAGACCGGAGGGTAATGTAGCAGGGAGCTGAACACCGGCGAGCGCTTTGTCTATCAAAAAGGCCGCGATGCAGAACTCATCACAGTTCAGGTTCCCATCTTTGTCCAGATCAGCGAGAGACCTATCATCGGGAAAGGGTTGTATTGTTACAAAAACAAACAGAACCCACCAAATATGGGCCAAGATTTGCTGAGAGAGGCCGGATTGTAAGAAGACGCCCCTAGCTTCAACCCCAGTGATGAAGCCACGCTTAGCACGATCGTGTTGGTTGAAGAGAAGTCGGTATTTCGGTCTAGAATTTGGGCCAATGGTCCAATTGTGTGGTTCATTCAAATCTGAACTGACGTTACTGTCCGTTGGAACAGGGGAAACGGAGGGCGCAAGTCCATTCAAACTGGGCTTGCCTAAAAACAAATGCCATTAGATATATTGGAGTAGAAAAGATGCTGGGATACAACTAGGATGAGTCTTATTCGTTTAAGTTGGTGAAAAAAACATGTTGCCGCGAAGATACGATCTGAAACTAGTCAATAAACCTTGACATCTAAGCTGAGCTCGGATGAAGGCATAGATATACATACAAAGCAGTAACATGGGGGAGAAGGTTCTTGTCAGCTGAAAGGAATGGCAAGACCTTTTCGGTTTTGGCAAGTCTGTTGTGCTGTACAGAAAGAAAATACCTTCAGTTTGTTGACTTTACAGATATATCACCTGGTGATTTCGTCTCTGTAATAAGAAAACCTCTCGAGAAATACACTCATTTGCAAATCAATTTGGTCTTCACGAAAGACCCAACTGAACCTCTCGTCTGTGAAACCGGTCGTGAGCTGTTTTCAGCAACCTTGTGAGTAGTTTCTTTCATGAAGAAAACCTCACTGTGGAGGCTTTTGAGAAGGTAAAGGTTAGAAAAATAATAAATCTTAACAGCATGGGGTCGTTATAGAAACGAACCGAGCCAAATACAACTCTCATCGCTTGAAGTTCTGTGCGTCCGGAGGAAGGACTAAGGCAAAAGAACTTACTCGATGGCAATCCAACGGGTGTGTCTAGGACAGAGGAGCGAGATAGGGAAGGTGAGGATGACGGGATAAATACAGGCTGAGGATCATTCTTCAAACCAGTCGGGAGGGTTGGAGGTAGCTGCATGCCTTCCAACTTTTTCTTAATCAAGAACATGGCAATTGAGAACTCCTTCTTGTCCAGTTTCCCATCAGCATCCATGTCAGCAAGACTCCTACGTAAACCACAAAACAAGCGGTAAAACGGGAAGAATAGAAATCTACCATATCTGTCCTAGAACTGTCGGTGGAAGGCCTGACTTGAGGAAGAACAACTTCACTTGTTCACCTGCACCGGAAGCAGAACCTGAGAGACAAAGATTCACCTACCAGTTATGTAACCATTAGTAGGTTTGAGGAATTGAAATTGTGCATCATGCTTGATGCGTTCATCTGTGGTGACGACCCATGAATTCCAATCGGCTGCAAGTAGAGTATGCAGGAAAACAAGGATGGGTCAAGGGTATTGACACCTGAGTTGACAACTGGTTTACGCACCTAGTTCGCTGCTTACGTTCGTAACAGAGTTATTGTAAAGGGACCAAGCCGATCTCACTTATTCGGGGTACACGAAGGCCACTGATCAACCTCAGAAATAACGGGGGCTGCAGAAAATGTTATAAATGGATTTTATGGAGTTGCATTCCCTATCAGACCTGGAGTACATAACCCGTCCCCTAGCATCACCATACCAACAGAACAAATAACAGTAAATCCCTGTTAAACTATCACTTACGATAAGGTCACGTCCACATTTTATCGACCATTGGCCTCTGCAAACAGCTTTCTGTAACATCTCCCGTTATACGACTCTCCCCTATTAGATGTGTTATCCACTAACAACAAGCTTGCTTCCGTCCCACTGACCATATGCGTCTGCATGTTTAGTGCTAATGGTGGTTCTACCAATCCTACAATTTTACTTTAGTTCTTATCAGTGGTTCTAATTGGAAAAGCCATATTGGGAAGGCCCCACAACTGCATTCACCACCTGATCTTACATAACTAGAAAGGAATAAAGACCATATCTACGAAGGTGGTCATGTAGATGAATAAGGTTTTCATATATATATATATATATATATATATATATATATATATATATATGAAAACCTTATTCATCTACATGACCACCTTCGTAGATATGGTCTTTATTCCTTTCTAGTTATGTAAGATCAGGTGGTGAATGCAGTTGTGGGGCCTTCCCAATATGGCTTTTCCAATTAGAACCACTGATAAGAACTAAAGTAAAATTGTAGGATTGGTAGAACCACCATTAGCACTAAACATGCAGACGCATATGGTCAGTGGGACGGAAGCAAGCTTGTTGTTAGTGGATAACACATCTAATAGGGGAGAGTCGTATAACGGGAGATGTTACAGAAAGCTGTTTGCAGAGGCCAATGGTCGATAAAATGTGGACGTGACCTTATCGTAAGTGATAGTTTAACAGGGATTTACTGTTATTTGTTCTGTTGGTATGGTGATGCTAGGGGACGGGTTATGTACTCCAGGTCTGATAGGGAATGCAACTCCATAAAATCCATTTATAACATTTTCTGCAGCCCCCGTTATTTCTGAGGTTGATCAGTGGCCTTCGTGTACCCCGAATAAGTGAGATCGGCTTGGTCCCTTTACAATAACTCTGTTACGAACGTAAGCAGCGAACTAGGTGCGTAAACCAGTTGTCAACTCAGGTGTCAATACCCTTGACCACCAGTGAGATATTTTGTCGTGAACTGCTTTATAGGGGGAACTCACCCATTCTCAGAAATCGGGAGAGAAAAAATCGTTTGCAGAGGTGGGTCTTCCTCGTCTAGAAACCCAGATGAAATATCTGAAATGGAACAAGAGTAGTCATAATGACCTTACAGCAGGACAACCACAGGACCCACCACTGAGGTCATGTAATAAACCACATTTAAGTTATATTGCGAAACAATGGTAACATCAACATGATGTGTTTAAGCAGTAAGGCTTACTACCTGTTAAGTAAAGACGACGTGTTCAGAAAAACAAAGTTCTGGTTTGCGAGTGCAGTCACAGGGAAATTTCCAGATCATCGATCACGATGACGGCAACGATGAGGATTACATTGTTGGTGTGCCATTCTTGCGGTATGACGGTCTTCACTGTGACCACGTTCTGCATCCGTTCCATATTACTGGTGGTCTTCTCGAGAAGCTGACTGCCAAAGCACAAACACCTATTTCGAATTGCTACAGGTATGCCGTACGAACTTTGTACGTTGTGTTTCCATCTACTGAGGGAGTAACATCTATATCTCAATCTTCCGCAGGTGTTGTGCCAAGAGCTGTGTTGCAATGAGCCAGCTAAACGATCTTTTTCTGTCAATCTCTACACGTTTCTGCGGTAACCGAGCCTGGTGACTGATTTGCCATTCGAAGGGACATCAGTGGTGCGCTGTTGGATGGGTAGCTCCTCTCCTCGTGCCTGCGCTTATACAGTTTTCAAAGAACAACTTTAAGCTATAACGTGATTAGTCGTTGACAATCAGTCCACATGGGGCCTATTGGTCCGATCGTGATCTGTCTTCTGTTGTAGGCTATATTTCTTTGGTTCGATTTCTCCACATGCTGAAATTGTCATCCATCCTCTGCTGCTCGGGAGGCTTGTTCTAGATCCATGACCTGTGTTGGTTCACCCTCCTGGTGTTTGACCGCGTAATGATGTACCTTCTGTTTTCGGTAATTTGCTGTCTTCATTCAGATTGGTCAATTTTCAACTTATAGTTTACCTAAATGAGCCTGGCTGGTTGATTTGTGCCGCCTCTTTGTTGGACTCCCATCATTTTGGTTCAGTTTGATGTCGGATTTTGTGGTCCTCGATGAGACAATTTACAGGGCTGGTTGATTTGTGCCGCCTCTTTGTTGGACTCCCATCATTTTGGTTCAGTTTGATGTCGGATTTTGTGGTCCTCGATGAGAGCCGCAATTTACAGGCCAATTAATAGTTTAGTTCTATTGGTTTATTCTCTGATTCATTGTTCGGCTCCTGATTCCAGGAGTCGATAGACAGAGTTGATCGGAGTGGGTCTGTTTAGTAATCAATCAGTGGGGCAACACGCCTCCAGTAATTTACGTTCTTTTTGTTTCTGCTTTTGCACAAACGATTTCGTCAACTGTTTTACCGGTAGTCCTGTTAAGGAAGCTTCATTCGTCTCCTGGGCTTCCAGTTTCTGACGGCGTCCTCAGGCTTTCTTTAAGTTCTTTGGAAACATACACTAGCTATCTTTGCTAGGCTTTCTCAAGACAGTAGTCATCGATCCCATGGAAGTCAAATGTCAGTGTAGTCGCATCGGAGTGGTCGAAAAAAAGCTTTGAAGGCCGTAAACACAACTCCTTCAGGACATCGCGAACCGTCATCATCTTGCTCCTTATTGACAATAAGTTCATTGATTAGAGCGATACGACTCGCTGGAAGTAATGAAATAGCATTCTTTCGTCGGTCTACAGGTTCTAGATTGCGATCGCATGTACGAACCATCGAGCTACCAAGAAAAAAAGAAAGCGTTCAACTGTAGCACCCTTCCGGTGCCTAGCTGCCATGCCACCCGAAGGAAGCACGAGGGCTGGGATACTACCAGGCTGCCCAAGCCTAGACAGGAGAAGTCGAGTGGCGGAGGTCGGATTCGAACCACGCTCTAACTACTTGGGCCATCTCGCCCCCATCGAGCTACCAAGACCAAGCTGCATATCCTACAAGGAATAACAGTTGTGCTCTTATGGGGTTGACTACTACGCGGTGAAAACAGGTGATCTGGCAGTTGTTTGGAGAACGCTAACTCAAGCGTTTATGCTGAGACATTGTCTCGAGTAGGGTAACTTGGATCGCTTTCAGTTGTGTACATGGCAAGCATTCGGACCAGACAATTTGCGGGACACTTGATCAAGGACAGCGACATGAATGCCCTTCGAAAAAAAGAACCAGCTTATGCAGACATTTGTAGGGAGTGCCCTCTTCATCTACGAAATTGGGGTCAAACAAAACACGCTGAAAATAAAAATAAGCAGCTCGTGTCTCCTGAATTGATGATGAGCTCAAACAAGTTGGACAACTGAGCAACCCAAACACGAACCTGACTAGAATCCATTCGAATCACTATTATCACTTGCATTAACGTTCAACGCCCTACAACCACAATTTATTAAAAAGCCTAATTGTGAAGAGGGTGAATGTAGGTAAGGGATATAATGCTAGCCTACCATAACAATTCCTAGGGACCTACACCGCCCGCAATTGGACGCTGCTACGGCCAATAAACCCACCTCGCACGTGAGTGGTCGGACGACGGGAACCTAGCCAGTCATGCATGAGGTCCACCTCCGATTGGTCGAAAATATGAATCCACCGGAAAATGTCTCATTATCCACTGTATGCAGGTTCCCAACACTATGTCTGGGAGGCGTCATAATTTTCCCATTTTCATCGTGGCATGCGCTCAAATCTGCTGATTACGGAATGTGTTTTGGAGAGCTTGAACTCATTCCCCTGAAGTAACGTCACCACCGAGGGAAACAACTACTTACTTGTGTCCTACTTGAACAAGCTTTGGTTTTTTCCTAATCTCTGTTTTTTCATCGTGTGTACGCTTGGTGGTTATGTTTAGGACGCAGGCTTGGGTTGATCCGACAGGGAGCCTAGACGAGGCATTCCATTATTACAACAGAGCCCGAAATTCGCTTGTGACGGCAGGCACGATCAGATAGGCAAAGTGGTTTAGCTGGATCTTAGCGCATTTATTTGGCTCAGTCGTTAATCATGGTGGTCCCGCCGCTCATCAAAGACGGAAGTTGCATGATCGTACTTAATTATTCTGGTTTGGTGGACATTTTGCATCAGCACCGACTGAAGTCTTTCAACAGAGCACTCGAGGCAAGCATATCGGCGAGCCCACCACATAATGCGAAAGAGTATCACCACCCTTTCTGAGTCTTTTCAGTCCCAACAAAGGCACTATTGATCATGGGATAACTAAGGCCCGACTATATCATAGTGCCCTCTGTGTGTGCTGACTTGATTCCACCTGCCACTATGTCGGGGTCACAAACCGCCAAATGTGGGTGTGAAACTGCCTCCCAGACTGCTCAGGAATGTGTACCTTACTTTACCAGCTTAACATAAAGCTGACCCCATTAAAGAAAACATACTGGACCCTTCCTAAACAATTCAGGAAGCTATCGCCCAAAGAAATTGGTGAGTGCTCGTACAAACAAGAATTTGGTTCCTTGACTAAGTGTGATCGCAGTTATCCTTCAAATTAGATAATAAGCTGCGCCAGTAAACACAAAAATGCGCCAATTAAGTATATGAGGCGCAACCAACTAGCAAGTCGATGGCATTCTCTTTGAGGAGCAGAAACGGAGAGTCCACGGGTGAGCAAACAGTGGTAGTTGAAGCCCATATAAAACACCATGCAGCATTTTATTCTGGCCCAGCACCTTCCCTACATCTAATTTCAGCAGACTAATTGGCCTCTACACTGACCATTAGCCGAAAGGCACGGTTTTCCCCGAAAAACCGTTTTCTGCTGCACAGGTGCTCAAACCAAATTCATTACAATCACCCCAACTTCCATCTGAAGTTATTCCAATTAACCTCCGCTCTGAATTTTTGACGCGCACTCAAAATTACACCTGAAGTGCTATGCCTTTAGATATGACCAAATATCCCGCGGTGTCATGAACATTCTTAATGTGGAGTGGTGATGATCGAAATTGCTTTGAGACGTAATTTCCTGGTGTGATTTCTGCACATAATTTCTCATTTGTATCAGTTTGGCACAACCCGCTTTTGGTCTATGTCGTCCTTCATCTTATTCGTAAATATAACCTTTTGACAACTGAGTGGTGATTTGTGGGTGCATTACGTCTAACAAAAGATGTGTTCTGGATGACACAAAAATAGCGGTTGTCTTCAATTTCAGTCTCAGTCGACAAATGGTGTGTAAACCTCCTGATGGGTGACAGGCACCAGGTGTGTACCTGCAGGCAGATCTGCGACACACAACTGAAAGGCCTTCTAACATGCAAGTTGAGCGTATTTGGCGCAGGTGCTCGTATCATTACATGCTTTGTTTTATGATTGTTCGCCAAAAAACGGAACTATACGTGCGTCCCAGAGAATTTAGGCTATTCTTTATTCCTGTACAAAATAATGTGTCAATCATTGACCGAAAAGTTCTGTTTGGGAACAAACGAGATCTACCACCTATTTGAATACGCCAGGGATGTAGAAGAAATTATTGGCGTATGTGGTACACTGTGCTTCTCGTTTTGGTTGATTTATGTTTACTATTGTTGATGCACTGCCTTGCTTACTCCGCTTTAGCACGCGGGCGTTTTCTCTATTTTCTGCCTATAGAGATTATCGTAAAACCCTACCCTCAGAGAATTGCTGTCCACTGTTGCCTACATAGCTTCCATACTACAAGCAATACAAAAGTCCCCTTACCGTGTGAAGCGTCAATGGGACACGCGAGATATATAATACTCGTAGCTTAATTTTAGTAAGCTGCCCAGTCTTACAAACTCCGGCTTGGATTTGCGAGCAGCGTGCAACCAATTTTTGGTTTAAAGTTAATGCGATTGAACTGAAATGCAAGAAGGACATAGCCAACGCTTTTGCGCTTAGCATTATAGAGAAAAAGGCGCACACACTGATAATAATGTGTGCAGTGAAAGGAGACAAACGAATGTCACGTCATCGGTGATGGGGGTCAACATATACTAGCCTAGGAGCACTCAACAGCCTAACTAATAGGTGTATACAAACCCAAGGAATTAGGTTTTGCTTCACCCACATACCTGTCTAGACAGTTCAAACACAGTGATCAAATGCCCGTTTTTCCTTAAACTCACAGATCATGCCACATAATCGGGACTTGTTTGACCCTGACTATCGGCATCATCTGGCACAATCCAAAATGAGCCATGTGCGGACATATCAGCACACACAGCAAACGTGCCCACCCAGAAAACACGAACCCAGGGCGGAAAAACAATCCACGTCCCCCAGCTGGGTGTCCAGCTGTGCAGGAATTACGGCACGCAATCAATCAGGCTTATGTGTGGATGCTACTACGGTGAAAGAAGTGCAAAACCTGTGTCTGGACGAACAGCACAAATCATCAGATCGGGCTCACATTATGAAAAGTCCCTTTTTCCTACATGTATATTGTAGTCGATTTCATTAACAAAAACAGTCGTAATTAGTGCTTATTGCTTTCTATTTTCCAGTCAATGTTCGGGCTACATTGGAGCATCAACACTTCAACGCGAAGTCTGAATACCTTGGTTATAGGGGCGTTTCCGTTCTCAGAAAAGGCTATGCTAGGTTTTCAGAAGCATAGTTCATCAAGTGCAGGCAAAAAATTATCACTTCGTGTTACCATTTTGGTGCCGGTTGCTGTTGTGCAATGGTGAGAGAGGCTCGTTGTTTGTAACAGTTAGTTTGTGGTTCAAACCCCAAAACTTTCTCAGACGATCAAAACCTAGGCCGGAACCCGCACGTGCATATTTTACCAATATGTGTGCCCAGGTATTAAGACGTCACTTCGTCGTTGTGCGGTATGTTGATTAATCAAACACGCAGATCAATTCCAAATCCACCAGCGGTGGCTTCCCGAATACAACCTCCAGAATGAGGTATACCGCTATCCCTGGTTCCAAAGCCACAGCCGTCACCAATAGAACGCTTGCACAAGTAGCTAGAACGGTTGGTTGGCAAACTGAAGCTGCTAGAACCACGTGAGACTGCTAGATGCGAGAAGCATTCCACTGTCCAAGCGCAGCTGATGGTGCGTCAAAATTCAAACACTGCACAGGACAGTCAGCCTCCGGTGTTTTAAGACGACCGTGGCAAACCAAGGTAGCATTCTACGTCGAAGGACGCTGTTCCCCGTGGTCTCTGTGGCCATCCAACTAACTTCTGGTTGCCGCTGTCCGCAAGATCGACTACCGTTCCACCGCTGTTTTTGCGGCGACGAGCCCTGCTCGCTGTGTGCGACCACCAGGTGCATGCGCACGTATAAAGTAAACTATTTCCTTTGGTTGCCGGTCTGTCGCGCAAACGCAGTCTTAAGTCTATCAAGCGGTCATCTAAAACGGCTTACTTTGATGTCCATTTCGATCGGTCCCTGGAAGCCCAGCCGAGCGTGCTGTGCACTGCAACCGCAATAAAACTGATCTGCTCAAAATCGGGGCAGATGGAGACCGGTAATTTGAGACCTGATTACAAGCATACGTTTTGTAGACCCTGCTTTCGAATCCCGGCATAAAGAATACTTTGTCTGACTGCTCACGCCTTGCCCACGGATGCCCCAATATTGGCTACCTTCCGGTGTTATTTACCTCCAAAAACGTAAGCGCGCTTGTATGACGGTCCGTTCGCTCCTCTCTAGCCTCACATATCGTTGCGTGAAGTGCTGAATCATCAAACCTGGCAATTATCACCTGGTAAAAACTGATCCTTTATCCCCGATGATGGAAATTATGAAGCACTAATATGAAGCAGATAAAAAACAACATTAGGATGCCCAAATGTTGTTACCGAAGATTGATGGCTTATGCGTTTTCCCTTTCAGAATCCTTTTCCTGTGAAGTTGAGCTTCAGAAAAAGGAAACACGGGTGACTTCCTATTTCACTTCCACTGGCGGTGCCGACGAATAGTAACGCAACTTGCGAACGGTGATTTCGCGAATTTATGACGGGCTCATTATCAACACGTATGTGGGGATGTAGGTTCGTCGTTGGCCATTGGATTAGCTTTCCGCGCATAGGTGAGGCCTGATAATTGCCGTCGCACATTGCAGTTACAATAAATAGTCGAGGTGAGTGACAACGGCCGTTGTAATCGCACATGCGGAGCGTCATTTCTGTATAACGAGTTCGCTCATGAGTGAGCCGGAGAGTAAAGTCAAGAGTAGGAGGTGAACAGTTGCTGGTGTGCTATCAAACTGGGCATGGCAGTGTCGTGTCAGCATTGCACTGACACTTCGGTTTCTGGACAGCAACTTGACGGACATCATGCTTGAGGTGATTGAACTGGGATGTGCGATTCTGTAAGCAGCGGGGTTTTGAGTTGGTCAAGGGATTCCGCAGAGTTAGAACGAAGCCGATGCAAGATACCAGGTATTTTTCTGGTACGGTTGGCGATCGCTATGAATGCAGACCACAAACCAGGTGGATTGGATAACAGTCAAATAGGATGATAGGATA